ACAAATCTACGTCTGCGGTCGGGAGGAACAGAATTGGCTAATGCTCGTGTCTGCAGTGACCACTTCGACAAAGGTTGGTTACAAAGCTAAATTGTTTTTTGTGGTTTACCTAAACATAAATGAATCATTAACAACTAACGGCTAACGACGTTTGTTGACATTAAATAGTTCAGATCGAGGTCACTGCCGATACACTGCAGTTTTTCCCATAACGTCTATACACATAAAATAAGAGAAACACTCACCCCGGCCAAGACCAAACCATAATCATCATTTAGGAGTTTTGCACCAAGGTTGAGGACCCATCCACTGACAAAAAAAAGTTCTATGCCTCCAAACTTTTGTACGTCTTCATCTGTTGTCTGGTGTAGAATGATGTCTGGAGAACTAGGTAGTTCATAATACTAGGCAGTTCACTGCCTCGATTGTCAGCAAATCTTTTACTTCGGTTGAAAATTCTCTTATTTTCAATAAGATCAGGGTCACGCCCGATATATTTGTTGACTAACTGCTCGTACTTTTGTCTTGCTACTGGCTCTAAATCCTTACAATAAGAACTCTTCTCCATATCTGTGTTCTCCAGAGCCGTGTTTGTTGTGTTTGTCTTCACTTCCTGCCCTCCACTTCCTGAAATTCGCGCGTCATCGTGATCACGTGACTGAAACCCTCCTATTCTGAAAAGTTACACAAAGTCTTAATTGAGGCTAATTAAGCTGTAGAAACTATAAAGTGTTACCGAATATTCCCGCGTTGATGTGAGAGCTTCATACATTTACAATTTCAACTATTTTGAAACTCAGCTTTTATTTTGAAATTCTGTAAATCAAAATTTCAGATACATTTGTTGCTGTTTTGTAGATTTGTCATGTTTAGATTGGGGAGATGGGGAAAGTGAAATTACTATATTATTTTTTCAATAATAAAGTGAATTTGAGTTGGGGTTGCAAATGTGTTACGATGAAAGGCCTTGTCACTAATATATTACAGTAACTCATCAGAACACTCCAAAAATTGACAATTTTAGAAGGAAATCTAAAACAAAAACACACAAATCATGATTGTTTCTTGGAGATTCGCTTCACAAACTAAAACACAACTTCGCCTTTTGTTTATGTGTGCTAACAGAGAAGATTTTGAACTTTGTGCCAGTTTTTGTTTCATGTGAATAGGCCCGGGAATTACAGAGACACTGTACGAAAAGTAAACCACGTCAACAAATCTGCATTTTAACTCTTTACTTGACAATTCTGACATATGCCTTTTAGCTGTTGTCTACACTACCTCATTTTAGACCATGGACTGTTTTTAATGTTGGTCAACAGCGCCCCCGGTGGTTAAACTTGATTCTGCGCTGTTTAAACTCGATATAAATCAGTGGCAGACTTCTGTGAGCGTTTCCAGGTCTTAAAACGGTTGTCTTTACCAAGGAACAGGAACGCGCTCATAAAATGAAGCTAAGAACAGATAAGACTTTTTAAAAGCTGGTTAACTGGGATTTAGAAGGTCATTGGGCTAGAAACTACTATATTGAATGGAAATTCAAAATGTTGTGATGAAAATTTGACTGTAGTGGTCAGCATCAAGTCATGAAATTGCGATGTTTCATTTCACATAGTTGTTCTTTTACACTATTTACTAAAACCAAATGTTATTCTGTGGATTTTTATCATGATGGAGAATCTATAAACAGAACTGGTTGTATGATCTTAGCCATAGGGAGGTCAGGTCCAAAATAGGCTCTCAGGTAAGGCTAAGAGGTGCATTGTGTAACTTTCCGTTTGTTTCTATGGAGATGCCGTTGCTCTGCCTGGAATGTTCCACAGTATGACTTGAGTATGACATTTTTTTTTTTTACTATACCCTGAAAAACAGACAAATAACTTGGTCTGGTTTGGCCTCCATGAAGATTGAAAGATTTACCGTAGTTTTCCACACTATAGGGTGCACTCGAACGCATCCAACCCCTTCAAAAAACGAACGCGCGCGCCACAATCCAGAGCGCCCTATACACGAATCCACTCAGGTGTCCCAGCACGACTTCAGTAAACTACAAAGCCGCACCACCCACAGAACACACAAACACACACGGAGCAGACAGCGACCGCACAGCGAAACACTCCCACAGACACACTCATCACTCCACACCGACGAGGAACGGAACGGAGGAACGAACCGAAAAAGTGAGTGCAATGTGCCACTTCTAGACACAACTGAACAACTGAGTCACTGCGAACACGCCGACAATCCAGTGGTCCCAGACAGCACCCTCCCTACACGCCACAACTGAACAAAGCCCAGAGTCACCGTGAACACCACAAACAAACAAAACCCAAACTCACCCATCACACTGTTGGGTTTCCTTTAAAGTCCAGTGTGGTTTATTTGTGAAAAAAGATCAAAAATAGACCATTCAATGACAGTGCGCCTTATAATCCAGAGCGCCCTATAGTGCAGAAAATACGGTAATGCCATACTGTGGAACATTCCAGACAAAGCAACAACATCTCCATGGAGAAAAGCGTTTGACTTGGCCTCCACTTGAAGAGTTGCTCAATGCGCGTTAAAATTTTGCTCAAATCGTGTTCAAAATGTTGCATTTAAAAGACACATGTATGTACTGATGAATGTGAGTTTGTGTTTTTATGCCTTTATCTGTTTATTATTTCACTTTCACTTGATTTTTGGTTGAGTAATTTAAGTCAAATCCATTTTCTAGTGCACTCAAAGGTGTAGGGAAAAAACAAATCTGTAGATGGCCCAATTGTATATTTATCTATTTATTTCATACACAAAGAATGAGAAAAAAAATGAGATACAAAATACACGACAACTAAATTATTCATTTCTTTTTCAATATTTTTGTCTCTTCACACTAGTTTTTCCTGCATAAATATAACATCATAAATCCTGTAGGAGGAACCCCGTTGTGCCCAGACTGATTAGACTTACGTTACTCAACTTCATTCATCCATTTTTCACGTTCACTTTTCCGTTCTTTTCTCCTCACTGCTTCCTCTAACTCTTCACAGCACTTTGTCTCAGAAAGTTCGATTTTATTTGGAATTGATTTGAACCAAAATATTAACTATAAAATGGGATTGGTCAAGGTTTTTTTGCAGGTATTTTTTGAGGTATGTTTCCTCACCATTTTTGAACGCAAAAGGAAATTTAATTCTGTCAACTGGAATACCCTTAGGTGTGAACAGTCATCTTGGTTATTTCGATGTAAATTGTAAACCACCAGGGTGTGTTAGTTTCACTGTGGTTACCTCGTCCTTTCAGGCAGGTACGTGACTCATCAGAACTCTCTCAGTGTATATAAATGGACATTGCTGACCCTCTAGCCACAGCGTTCCAAGTAGGACGTGAGTATAGGCGCGTTCTGGCTCCATAAACTCAAATTGACTTTACATTGAAAAATTGTCACTCCTCTCTCTGTAACTGCTGCAGTGAGCCTCTTCATTTTGGTCCTATTAACCCACTCTACATGATCCTGTTTTTACTCTGTTTTGTTCGTAAACAAATTCCTAATTTGGAACTTGACTCCAAATTCGCCCCTATAACTGCTAGCCTCGTGAGCTTCATTTGACTGGAGCTGAACCCTGTGGGTGACGTCACACTCAAATCAAATTAAATGTATTTGTAAAGCACATTTAAAACAGCCAAAGCTTACCAAAGTGCTGAACAACATTTACAGTGAAATAAAACCTACAATAAGTAAATCAAGCAGAATAATAATAATAAAATAATAATAATAATAATAATAACAGCAGGAAGGTGCCAAGGCGTCTCTTCTAAACTCTGGGCAAATGCCAGGGAGAAAAGATGCGTTTTGAACAAGGATTTAAAGTGTTCCACAGAGAAGGTCCCATCTCCTCTGGTCCTCAGTCTGGTCCTGGAGACAGCTGGAGGTGCTGGTCTCCAGACTGCAGATCTCTGGATGGGACATGGGGCTGGAGGAGTTCAAATAAATAGGAAGGCGCCATTAAGACTCTTAAAAACAATCATTACAGTTTTAAAATGGATTCTAAAATGTGCAGGGAGCCAGTGCAGAGATTTAAGAACAGGAGTGATGTGGTCCCTCTGCTTCTTTCCAGTTAAAACTTTAAATTCTGGACCCTCTGTAGACGTCTGAGCAGGGCCTGGTCACAGAGTTACAGTAATCGAGCTGTGTGTTCACAAATGCATGAATGGCCTTTTCAAAGTGCAGACGTCGAATGTATGGTTTGATTTTGCTTAAAACCCGCGCTTATAATAATAATAATGAATCTTTATTCATAAAGCACATTTAAAAATAAGGTTTACAAAGTGCTGTACAAGCAGCAAAGAACAAAACAAAAAGCTTAAAAGTAGCAAACCGAAAGCACAAAAACAGACAATGACACAAACAATTCAATTAATTATTATAAATAAGTTATATACAGTATGAATAAAATCAAATTAAAATAAATAAGGAATAAAATCTAACTAAAACCAGTTAAAACGAAGGCCAAACAGATAACAGTGAGTTTTAAGAAGTGATTTAAAAGATGATAGTGATGGTGTGAGTTGTATCTCCTCAGGCAGGTCGTTTCCAAAGTCGAGGACTGAAAAGACTCCATCACCTTCATCCAGAGTCTGGACTTTGGAACAGTCAGAGGGACCTGTCTGAGGATCTGCAACTGTGGGAGGCTTGAACACGGTTAAAAGTTCTGAATTTTAACTTGGTGCAAGATCTAAATGAGCTTTAAAAGTGATCAGTGAAAACTTAAAATTGATGCTAAAACCCACAGGAGCCAGTGAAGAGAAGTAAAACAGGGTCATGTGTTGAGTTAAACCAGCTGAGTCCATTTCTTTCTACAGTCTATGATGGTGAAATGTTTTCACTCTAAACTCTTATGTCCAGTTGACAGAATTAAATGTTCTTTTGCAATGGCACCTACTGGACTGAGGGATCACACAAACTGGCCTCCTTTTTCCGAAGTTTTTCCAGCGCTAATGTCCGATACGTGCTATTTCAGATCATGGAGCGATCCCGAGAATTTCTCCAACGACAGAAGCATCCTGACGCTGTCCCCCATCGAAGCCACGCACTGCTGAAGCCGACGCGCATATCTCCAGTGTGAACAACAACAGAAGAAGAAGAAACAGCAGAACATTTAACATCCAAGAAGCAATAATACAACAGATTTTTGATTGAGATTTTCACATCTGACAGTTTGCCAAAATGTACATTTTTAAGATGAGAAACGAAGTGGGATTTGGTGGCATTTAAAAGTTTGAGTAAAATTGCTGGTACGCTTTTTCTTTTTCTTTTGTTTTTGTTATATTGAAATTTATTTATTCAGCAAGACAGTTTCAAGTCTAATTCAGAATCCTGTCTGATCTTGGTTAATTTAAAATGCTGGAAACAAATTACTAATAAACCTTAAACGCGCTGTACCTGATTTTTATTGCGTTAAAGCATAAAAAAACAGAAGTAGTTCATTTGAAACAGTTTACATTGTTCCGAAGTTACTCCTCACTTACCTTATTCACTCAGTCTCTGTCTCCATGGAGATGTTATTGCTTTATCTGGAATATGCCACAATCTGGTATTAGATTTATTAATCTATGTCCATAAAAACAAGAATGTGATGCCACCAAACCAAGTTAGAGACCAGATCTATGGAGGGTAGGGTGTGCAAAAATACTGAAATATTGATATATCGTATTGTTTAACGTGAAGATACAGTTTTGATATCACGGGCTGCTGTATCGATATATCACCAAGAGTATTTCTTGGTGTATTTACCGTATTTTTCAGACTATAAAGTGTACTGGATTATAAGGAGCATTAAGGAAAACAAACAGGCGACACTTGAAACTGATCCTTAGTCCAGGTGTCCATGATCCACTGGCAGATCGTGGTGTTACTTGCCCAGCATTGCCTCAGGTCTTAGTGAATGTGGATTATAAATGTTAATATGCGTAGATAATTTGAAGTTTGGATTTTTATTTCCTACGAGCAGGACTCAAATATACAGTAAAAATGTGTAACTAAGTAACAAACTTTAAACTATCGCCATGGCTCATTTGCATAAACTATAAGCGCTGAAAAAAACAGCTCGATCCTTGTGCGCTGATGCAGTTCAGCTTCTGTCGGACAAAAGGACACGACTCCTCGAGGCTCCTGACTACAGTAGCTGTAATGCTTTGACATTCCATCAAGCAGTGCTGCTTCATAGTTTACCAAAGTTGTACTAAAACATTTTGACGGATTTTTTAGCTCTGTGTATCACATAAAATCGGTTTGAGGTCAGTAAGCACAACCAGAATGAATACACACGGTGCACTGTCAATTTTTGAGAAAATTAAAGGATTTTAAGTGCGCCTTATAGTCCGAAACATACGGTAACTAAATTATTTTGTTACAGCGCTACAGTTTTGTTGCTTTTTTAGTGGAAGGAAACACGTTTATGCTGCACATTTGACATGTTCACTCCTTTGATGAGTAAAATGTTTATTAATTTTACACAAGAAGTGACTTGACAAAGGTTTTTAGTATCATAGCCACAATTTAGCCATTATTTTTTATTGAACCATATCAAAACGATTTGAAATATATCGAACTGAATCGAAAGCTCACTGTATCGAGGTGTGTATCGTATCGTCAACTTCTTAATGATACTCAGCCCTAATGGAGATGTGACCACGCCCTCAGTCAAAATGCATGTTTTTGAATGTATTTTTGAGTTATAAAAACAACTTTAATTGAACGAATGCAAGATGGAAACTTTTCATTGCGTCCTGTGGAATATTCCAGACAAAGCAATAACATCAACATAGAGACAATAAGGTGGCGGACCCTCCCCACAAAAGTTACATAAAAGACTTTATAAAAATATATTAAGCACCGTATGAAATGACTCATATTAGATTCTAAATTTGATTACTTGCTTTTCTTTTCAGTTTTGTTTAAAAGTTTGATGATTCAGCTTTAAATGCCTCTAAATCCCACACTCTTTGCATCAAACTCCTTCAATCTTGAATCATCATCGACCGACTACAACAACAGAAATGTTGTGTTTTTGAATTTGCACAAGGAAAGTAGCAGCAGGAAACAAACTCGGAAAAACTTATGAAACTTTTTGAAAATCCCGAGTTTTATTTTGACTGAAAGGGAAAAAAACTGGAAACTCTCGTAGCTCGTTTCCTTTCGCAGTTTTCATCTCCTCCTCCTCCTCCTCGTTACCAAAGACCGAAGCGTCGCAACTGGATTCTGACAGAACTACTTTCCATTTAGTGCCTCATTTGTACAGAAAGAGTTGTTCATCGGAGTGAAGTCTTACGGGTGGAGCTGCTTCCCTGTTTAACTCTCTGGACCTGGATCTCATTGGTCCGTTTAAAGCCATATATTTTCGACGTATATATTTTTTTGAAGGTACTAGACGCTGATGTTGAGATTTCCAGTTTAATTTGTTCATTTTGCTGTTCCCCCAAAAAGCATTGCAATGTTAAAACAGATTGGAAAATGACTCTGTTTTCTCAAAGGGCTCATATTACGCTGTTTTCTGATCGCTTTCCTCATCCCTCACAGACCTGGAGTTGTGTTTTTGTTTTGTTTCATTCCCACATGTTTAAGACACGGATGCAGATTTGTCTCGAACAGAAAACACTCTATTCCACCTTGTGATGTCATGTATTAATACAGGAGGTGCTCCGGTGGGTTTTTAAACTACATACATCTTTACCAGAATCATTTGGAGGATTTTAGCTCTGGAATTGACCTGGAATTAGTGTGACCAGATTTCTCTATTTCCCCGGGACGGTCCCAGTTTTGAGCGTCCCCATCCCAGCAGATTTATACAAAACCATTGATTGATTTGTGCATTTTATACAAAAAATGTCCCAGTTTTATACAAGAAACATCCCATGTGTCCCCTGTTTTGTCCCTTTTTGACCAATTTGAGACTTGCCAGCAGTAAAAAAGACGTATAAATTGTAATGGTAACACTTTATAATAACCACATTATTTAGCCTTAATAAAGCATGAACAAAAACTTAATTAATAATGAACAAAGACTTAATTAATAATGATTCATGCTTAGTAAATGCTTAAGAAAAGATAATTAGTCTTCACTTTAGAAAAGCTCTCAAAAAGACTTACAGACTAACAGATAACAGCTGCCTGAATGATCATTGTATTGCATTATTAGTAAATCATTCTCTCATAGTTTACTAATGATTAATAAATGCTCAAATGGTTAGTTCATGAGTAATTAAGTATGAAATAATTATGAGTAACTATTTACAGCACAGGCAAATTAAGTGCAAGTGCTAATTAAGGTAGTAATTAAGTAGTTACTAAGCGTGAATCATTATTAATTCTTTGTTCATGATTAATTAAGTCTTTGTTCATGCTTTATTAAGGCTAAATAAGGTGTAGTTATTATAAAGTGTTACCATTGTAATTTGTTTAGCTTAAATACAGAAAAGCTGCTTCAAAATGACCAAAACACAAAGAAAATGTGACTATACTGACTCACATTTCCTGAATAAATCCGGAATCGGCTGAGTGCAGAATAATTTTCTTTAATTACACACTCGTTTCACTCGTTTTATTATTACCAGCCGCCACAAACCAGGGGATGTCCCAGGTTTTGATTCTGAAAATCTGGTCACCCTGCTTGGAATTTCTATTGAACTCAAGGTAAAACGAGCTGTTCACTTCAAAATGACCACTTTATGACATCACAAAGTGGGACAGAGCATTTTGACTAATAATAAAGAGTTATTCAAACATGTGATTGAAACAAAACATAACTCCAGGTCTGTTTTTGAGGAGGTAACAACATTAAACATGACTTAAAGCTCAAAAGAGTCCATTTTGCGTAATACATGTCCTTTAAAGAAACACTGTGTAACTTTTCTGGTAGAGTTCACCTCCTACGTTCATGTGTTGTTTTAGGAGAAACTATTATTACTTTTACCTGGACATGTTTCAGGCGCCCGCAGCTGGAAACATATCATTTTGTGTTTTATTTTTCATTTAAAACCATCGTCACATTCATCTCCAACATGTTTTTTTCAATGTTTGTTCATTTTGGTGTATGAAGTGTGTGCGTGTTTCTCTCCGACCACCTCCTGGAGTTTACAGTCGGATACAGCGAACGCACGACTGGAGCTGTGATGTTGAAGTAAAAAATGTTCACCTTTTTTCAGTCTTATCTAGAGTGACCAGATTTTCAGAATTCTAAACCGCGACACACCCGGGTTGGGAGCTTGGTGTAAATGAAATCGTGAAAAGAGCATGAAACATTGTGTTCTTGAGTCAGTCATAATCTGCGGGACTTCTGAAACGGCTGTTTTTTTTTTTACTTTGTGGTCATTTGCAAACATGGATTTCTGTATTTTGGCAAAACAAATGATAATGTATGCTTCTCTTTACTGTTGGCGGGGATCAGATTAGTCCAAAATTGTGATAGTCCTGTTTTAGTCTTATTTTAATCTTAGTTTAGTCATGATTTAGACCTGCTTTAGAACATTTTGTTGAAAAATAGAGACACCTGGGACATTTCTTGTATTAAACTGGGACAGATCAGTGGTTTTGTATAAATCTGCTGGGACAGGGGACACTGGGCTCAAAACTGGTACTGTCCCGGGTAAATAGGGACGTCTGATCACCCTAGTCTCATCTTTTAATCAAAATGTTAATAAAAATAAGACAAGTTTGAAAATAATTCAAAGTTTTAAAATATGACACATGAAAGGTAAAATAATATAAGCCACCAAATGCTATTAGAGCAGTAGAAATCTTTATTGAAATATACATTTTAATACAGGTTTAAGAGCGTCATCTCTGCTGCCCCCTAGAGACAACCACAAGAATAGAAAAGCTGCTAAAAGGACTGAAGCGTTGCTCTTAGTTTTAGTTAGTTAGTTAGTTTTAAACCTAAGTTGTAGGGTTAAAGATACACTGCTAGAGTGACCAGACGTCCCTTGAGCCCTGTGTCCCCTGTCCCAGCAGATTTATCCAGAACCACTCATTTGTCCCTGTTTTATACAAGAAATGTCCCACATGTCCCTATTTTGAACCAATCTGATTTAAACCAGGACTAAACTAAGACTAAACTAGGGATACATCAGGTCTAAACCAGGACTAAAACAGGAATATCACAATTTTTAACTAATCTGATCCCTGCCAACAGTAAAGTGGAGCATAAAATCTCATTTGTTTTGCCAAAATACAGAAATCCATGTTTGCAAATGACCATAAAGCAAAAAAAAAAAGTCCCTCAAATTATGACAGACACGAGAATTCACAATGTTCCACGCTCTTTTTACAATTTAATTTCTTCCAAACATTCAAACCCGGGTGTGTCCCAGTTTAGAATTTTGAGAATCTGGTGAGCCTATGCACTGTGCAACTTTCCTGGAGGATCTGCCACCTACCTGTGTCCATGGAGGTGTTTTTGCTTTGCCTAGAATGTTCCATGGTTTGACTTTAAACATATCCATTTATTCATTACGGGTGTTTCTATTGCTCAAAAATACCATAATTCCTTCTGTGAATAGGGGCGCCTCTCCACAGATCTGAACTGTAATGTAGCGTTGGGCTTCTAGACAAAGCAGTAACATGTCCATGGAGAGGAGCACCTGGCGAACCCTGCACTCAAAATGTTGCGCAGTGCTTCATTTGGCAGTAAACTTCTTGGTCCCTTTTGGTTTATTTTATGTACATTTTTGTCAAGATGGCGCCTGGCGAGTTGTGGTTTCATACTTTTAGTAATTCTAGGCCGATTCCCCGCGGAGAACGAACGGGACGGTGAGTAGAAGTCCGCACTTTTGAAGCAAACACATCTAGCCGAGCGCCTGGTATCGAGAAAAGGCCCGTTTGGCTTTGAGAAGTTAAAATCAACCATATTCAGCACAACTTCCCCTTTTGAACAAGGATTTTCTTTTAGTGTAGATATATATATATATATATATATATATATATATATATAGATATATACATATATATTATACTACTACAGTACCTCAAGTGTCCAGCAGGGGGAGTAGAGAGTCTTGTGGTTGCATTATATTTATGTCCAACTCAGAAGGCAACCGTTTTAAACTTGATTTTAAACTTCATTGTCGCTTTTGTGCCGGAAATCCACTTTGTACCTTCAGATAAACGTGACGATGGAACGAAATTTGAATTTAAAAGCTTTTATAGTGAGGTTACAGATTATACTCTTTATTTTATTGGTAATTATGAACATTTTTGAATGGAATTAACGGCCTAATATAAATCTTTGTGACACTATAGAGCGGTGGTGTCTGAACTTTTCTCATCACTCATATGAAAACGCAGACGAGGAGGAGGCGATCGAGGGCCATAGACTGGTGCTTCAAACAGAGAAAAAACAACAGTGTGCATTCGTAACAGGTTTGAATGAGTCTCCAGACCTTTAGTTTTGCTTAGATCCTCAAAAGGACACTAAATATTTGATCTCTGGCTTCATCAAAGTATCGAAAAAAACCTGCAAACTGCAAAAAATACTGCATGTTTGGACATATCTGTGATAGATGTACCGTATTTTTGGGAGTATAAGTCGCCCTGGAGTATAAGTTGCACCAGCCAAAAAATGCACATTGAAGAAGAATAAAACATAAGTCTCACTGGACTATAGGTTGCACTTTTTGGGGAAATGTATTTTATAAAATCAGAAACCAGGAACAGACATTTCCTGTTGAAAGTCAAGTTCTAGTAATAAGAATAGAATAAAGAACAACAGACTGTTAACGTCACATATTTCACATTTCTTCAGATAAACTATAACATAAACAACAGAACAGAACAAGTTTACCAAACTCTCCATCTCACTCCAAATCACTAAATCCATTCAGTTCTTCATCCTCGTGTCACTTCTGCACAACCTCCAGAGATAAACCATAGATCCATGAGGTAAACGGTGCGCCACTTCCTCTTTAGTTCCAGTTAAAATTATTCAGGTCTTTCTGAATCCCAACAGGATGGTTTCGGTGTCACTGAAGTTCAGACATTGTCCATCCATCCAGTGACTTCAGGAAAGTTGCATGGTGCACCCTCCCAGTCACCGTGATGCTATACTCTCCATCCCCGCTTTCCACCAGTCCCTCACAAGTTTTTCACACACTCCAAACTTTCTTTTTGCTGCTCGATTACCGTTTTCGGCTGAATATTTCACTATTTGCAGCAGAACAGCAGCTTTTTCTACAGGAGGCATGCGCAGTAGAGTGAAGTGACAGTGGTACAGGAGTAATAGATACTGACACACAAGCCTAGAGAGCCCTCTTGTGGCTGTCAGTCTGAAAATTTTAATACGTAAGTCGCACCGGAGTATAAGTCACCAGAAACACCCAAACCATGAAAAAAAGCGCAACTTATAGTCTGAAAAATACGGTACTAGTATTTACCAGCAGTTTACTTTTTAGGGTAACCAGACATCCTTTTTATACACGGGACAATCCCAGTTTTGAGCCCTGTGTCCCTTTTTTGGACCAATTTGAGCAATGCCAACAGTTAAAAGAGACATACATTGTCATTTGTTTAAGTAAAATATGGAAAAGCTGCTTTAAAATGACCAAAACACAAAGAAAATGTGACTATACTGACTCATGTTAGTTGTGAGTGAGTCATGAATGGGCCAAGTGCAGAACGATTTTCCTTAGTTTCAGAATTTTACTTTTACCAACCACCACAAACCAGGAATGTCCCAGATATTTTTTTTTTTTAATTTAAAAAAATCTGGTCACCCTGATGATACAGTATCTATGGCTATGGTCAGACTGCAATTTTGTTGCGAGGTCGTTCACATTTCCAGTTAAATGTGACTTGTTTGTGATCTCCAGTGTGATCTTTAAATGCCCCAAAAGTGTCCCGCATGAGCACTGGACAACACGACAGCGTCACACACAGCGAGCGTGCTCAGTGTTTACAGAAGTCGCCTAAACGCTGGACTTGTCTCCTAAAATACAGTCCAGTTTTTGGTCAAATGGACAGGTTACACGTCCACGGCCGCTTTGTTTGTTGGAGTCTTTAGCCTCCTTGTATTTGACTCACAGGTTCTTTATTTTTGGTTGACGCTGGAGTCAGAATCGCCTGTAGCTGCGCTCGGACATTTCTTTGGCAGTCATTTCAAAAACCGCCCAGTTCCAAAAAGACGCCTCCAATTTGACCTAAATACAGCGATCCCCCAAATATGAATAAACTCACTAAACCTCGTTTTCCCTCCATTGACGAGACTCTGAGCCTGACGTGTAGGTGGGATGAATGTGACCTGACCAGACTGAAGTCACATGTCAAAAGATCAGATATGTATCAGTTTCAGGAGCACAGATCCAAGTGTCCTGGGTCACATTTGAAAAAATCAGATCTGTGTCGTTCAGACTGTCATTAAAAGATCAGATACAGGTCGTATAGGGGCTAAAAAAAAATCAGATTTGGGTCACTTCAGGCTGACCCATGAGAGATTTGCACTACTGCCTCAAACATGGCAGATTTCCATGGCAACCCCTGTTTTTTGAGGTTTTTTGGGGTCCATCTTGAGCTTGTTCCATCTGAATATCTTGGCCTATTGTCTTTTCATCTTCAACACAAAACCCCCAAACTAATAAAACAATTTTCTATGTATTAAATCAGAAATAAATAAATTATATCTAAAGGTACAAAGTGGATTTCTGGTTCAAAAGGGCCAGTGACAGAAGGTACTCAATCGCCAACGGTTTCGTGGAAAAATCAATTGCTACGGTTACTCCATAATCCCATAGTCATGGTTACTGTAGTTTCAGGCTAACGAAGAGTTTCATTCTGTGAAACCGTTGAAATTATGTCATGTAGAAGTACAACTGACGACTGAAGCGTGTTTATTTATTGGTCCAATATTTATGTCATTTACAACAGCAGGTACAGTAGTTTGTAGATGTCTTCATTTACCGTAAACTCCCATTAAAAGGGTTTGTGAAATTAATTCTACGAGAAGCCTATTTGGGTGGTAAACAGGCAGAGATAGTTTTGGGATCTTGTTGCTAGGCAGATTATAATCCAGAATAAAAACTGAAATATTTAAAAACTGAGGGAACAACATTTTCAAACCAAGAAACAAAGATCTACGTTATAATGTTGTTTCCTCGTCAAAAACGGATCTGGTGTTGCGTTTTGTTTCATTCCCACATATCCCGACATACATCAACATACTGAAAACATTCTGTTCTGTTCCACCTCGTGATGTCATGCGATAATACAGGAAGTGCTCCATTGTATTTTTAAGCTTCATACACCTTCACTAGAATTATTTGGATCATTTCAGTCCTGGAATTGTCGATCTCTACTGAACTGAAGGTAAAAGGAGCTGTTCACTTGAAAACTATAACTACTGTACATGACATCACAAGGTGGAACAGAGCAGTTTGAGCTTTGCAGATGTAAACAGACTGATAATAAATGATTACTGAAATGAATGTGCAAATGAAACACAAAAACACAACTCCAGGTCTGTTTGTGATGTGATGATTTGTGCTTAAGTCTCACAGGAGTCAGTTTTGAGTAAATTAGAACCTCCAACCAGTTTTCACACAAACAGTTTTTATTCTGTCATGAGATAAAAAATTAAATGATTCTTACTAGAAAAAAGTCAAGAACCCCAATTTAAGAATAGCTGAAATGTTAATGTACCATATTTTTAATGGTTTCTCTCCTCAAAAAGCCATATATTTTTGGCAATAACTTCAATTTAAATATTCCCTTGTTAAATATCTACACTGTGTACTGCTTAATGACGGTACAGAAGCGATAAAAGGAACTGTAACAAAGTGACAGCAGCTTTGTGTAATCTGAAAGAACATGGTACTTTACTGTAGGCACGAGTTGCTTCCAGGCCTAGAAGCTTCAACTTTTCACAGTTGGATTTCATGAAAACACCTATTTTCATAATTTATGTCTAAAAATCTGTTAAAAATGAAGCAATTTTTTGTGAGTATGTGGACCACTGGGGAATTCCTGAAGCAGCGTATCAAGAGTGTAATTGAAAAACATGCTCATTTGTTACACTTGAAGGTGCTCTGTGTAACGTTTTGTTTGGTTGGGGTTAGTCACCCGTTTGTTGCTCTGCCTGGAATGTTCCACAGTGTGACATTAAATAATTCTACTTTATATTTATTCAATTTCGAGTGGTTTTGTAGCTCAAAAATATTTAGAAAAACAAACATTCTGACTGTGAGCGGGTCGCCTCTCCACCTGTCATTTGGTCTGGTTTGGTCTCCATGAAGATAAAAAGGTTTAATGCCATACTGTGAAACATTCCAGAAAAAACAGTAACATCTCCACTGAGAAAAGCGTTTGACGGAGCCTAAGTTACACAATGCACCTTTAACTAACTTTGTTGAAATCCATCACAAATGTCCACATCAGATCCTGAGCTGTGTAGGTGTTTTGAAGCTTCCGGAGAGACGTTTTGCATATTTGTTTTTTTATTTTAGGAAACAGAATGGTTCTTGTTACATTTAAATGTTTTGAGAGTAAATTTCATTGTTAATTGTTGTTCATAATTTATTTTTGTTCCTCTCCATCAGCGAAATGTGCAGCAGATCATCATCTCCTCTGTGTCCTCTGTCCTCTGTCTGTACATCGGAAAATGCAGTTCTATTTACGAAATAAAGACATTTTTATAAAACTGAATTGTATTGTGTTTTTGTTTTATTATGTAATATAAAATAAATATTATATATTAATATTTTTATATTATTAAAGGAACTGTATGTACTGTAGCCGTAAGTGTGAATAGAGCTCACTGTCCTAAACCGAAACACCAAATAAAACACTGGACATGAGGCCAAACTGTTTTTGTTATAAGAAATTATCAGTACATTTCATTTCTAGTCTAGTTATAGCAATAAATGTTATATTTCAACTATACAAGTCGTTTCCAAGTCTCAAATAAGTCTCAAGTCCCAAGTCGAGTTTCGAGTCACTGGCCCATAAGTCCGTCAAGTCCCAGTCAAGTCCTAGTCAAGTCCCGAGTCGAGTTTTGAGGCACTGGCCCATAAGTCCGTCAAGTCCCAGTCAAGTCCCAGTCAAGTCCCAAGTCGAGTTTTGAGGCACTGGCCCATAAGTCCGTCAAGTCCCAGTCAAGTCCCAAGTCGTCTGCTTTGAGCTTTATGTCATTTCAAGTCTTTAAACTACAGTATATTTGTTACTTTTGTTTAGATTTTTGCAGTTTATATGATTTTTAAACTAAATTGTACTTAAAAGCCATGATATATTTAAATATGAGTATTTATATAAGAGTAGTAGAAATGCAAGTGAAATGGAAGGATCATGTTTTACTGTATAAAGAGAAAAAAGGAAGACGGCTCAAGATGGTTTCACATTTGTACAGATATTTTATTACAATTTCTTCAGAAAATCACAAACAGAATAATACAGTTGTTGATCTGAAAAAGGCCACTTCAGTAAAAGAACAAAATCACATGATGAAAATGAGCTTCTGCTCCGTGTACAGAACAGGAGTGTGTATTTACAGTTTTTATTTCAGTCCCAATTTCACGTTTAACACAGAAAGATTTACATTTTATAGGAAATAATTTTTGTTTCTAAAGGTTGGGACCAGTCTAAAAGAAATACTACAGACTTTTGACCTAAAAACAAACTAAAAAACACACACAAAATTAACGGAAATGAAAATTAAAGGTGCACTATGAAACTACAAGTCAGATCTGTGGAGAGGCGACTTCGCTCACAGTAAGAATGTTCGCTATAACTGAACGAATGACAGACAAGTTTAATGCCAGACTGCAGAACATTCTAGACAAAGCTAAACCATCTCCATGAATACAAGCAGGTGACAGACCCTCCAGCAGAAATGTTCCATAGTGCACTTTTTAATAGTCGTAAATCTCGTCACCATGGTAACAGTAGTGTTTTTAAATGTTATAAATTGCATGTCATTTATAACATATTCAAAAAAATTTACTGTGAGTTAAGGCAGTTTTTTTACTTGATCATTAAATGCAGTAATTCCTCTTTCATTTCAGTTTTAGTATACAGAATAATTTTAATTTATTTCAATATTTTCAGTCTGTAATGATTTAAAATACACATGTACTGCCCATCACGTCTGTGCCATAAACCCAGGCATATCCCCGTCTTAAATAATAATAGAATTAACTCTACAGGTTAAATGACAACCATCAGTAACGGTGCATGGGTTAGTCCAGCAAAAACACTCTTACAATTGTTTTATTTTTAATTTAAAGACTGAATATTAGGTTAAAGAAGAGAGACAGACAGGGAGGAGGTAAGTGGTTGTACAGTAATTGCAAATCGAAATTGGAATTTGAAAAAAGTTATTACGAAATCAACAAGGCTACATACACTCTGATCCTGTCAGATCTCAGAGGCTCAGAGGTCAGGCCTGGTTAGTACTTGGATGAGAGACCTGGGAAAATCAGGAGTCTGAGGGGGCACCAGTCACAAGAACTGTTGTTGTGTCCTTAGGCAAGGCACTTTAACCACATTGCCTAGTATGAAAGTGGCGTGTACGTGAATGATGGTGGTGGCGACTTTGTGACATGTCTGTGAAAAGCGCTACAGAAATAAAAACTTCCTTACTTTTCACAAACTACCGTATTTTCCACAGGGGCGCACTTAAAAGCCTTTAATTTCATCAAAAAACGACTGTGCGCCTTATAATCCAGAGCGCCTTATATATGAATTTATAGGGGGTGTCTTAGTACGACTTTAGTAAACTACAAAGCCGTACCACTTGCAGCATTATGGCTCCCATAGTCAGGAGCATCAGGAGTAAAACAAACTGATTCCTTTTAATATCAAAATGCACCTGTCAAGAAACACGCTTAAACTCAAGACTGTTATAAAGTGAAAGTGTGAGCTGCGTGGGAGCAGTGGATGAGAGAAGACGAACACACATTCACCAAGACAGAGAGACAGCGCCGAGCGACTTACGCCACGATCTGCCAACGGATCGTGGACGCCTGGGCTAAGGATCAGTATCAACTGTGGTCCGAGGTTTCACCAAGACCAGAATCATCACTGAACTGTCAGGGAACAGTAACCACACTGACTCGGATAATGATGAGAGGGATGTGGACGTGCTGGACGCTGTAATCGCCCAACTGTTTGAACAATTATGACTTATTGTGAATACACCAACAATTTAGCGTCTCAGACAGTATTTTTTTACGTGTTACAATTGAACAAAGTTGAGAGTTATTGTGAACGCATTAAATAAACTTTGACTGACTTATCTAACTGTTGTGTTTCATTTAAAGTCCGGTTTGGTTTATATTTGAAAAAAGTTCAAAAATAGACCATTCAATGACAATGCGCCTTATAATCCAGAGCCCCTATAGTGCGGAAAATACAGTAAATACATTGTCTCTTTATGGGGAAAAAGCAGTTAACCTTTGTAGTTTAGATCTCTACAAACATGTTCTGAGATAAACGCAATCCTTAAATCAATTCAGCTGTTCAGATTTCATTTGTTTCTCAAACTTTAATGCCACTGTGTGTGTTTAAAGGCGCATTGTGTAACATTTCTGGTGGATGGTCTACCTCCTGCTTGTGTTATTGCCGTGTTTAGAATGTTCCATATTGAAACATTAACATTTCTTAACAAACTAGACCAAGTGACAGGTCAGATCTGTATAGAGGTGACCCTGCTCACATAAGAAATAGTGTTTTTTGCCAGTAAAAGGTATAAAGGCAAACTGTGGAACATTCCAGGCAAAGCGATCACATCTCCCTGGAGACGAGCAGGCGGTGGACCCCTCCGGCTGATAAGTTACACAGTGCATCTTTAAATATTGACTGAATCCTGATTTGAAAAATGAAATCCAAAATTGTTCAGCCCTAAAAGTTAGAAGACAAAATGAAGAGAAAGATGGACAGACAGAAGACATGATACTGACACAGAAACACACGCTGCATTCATCCACTTGAGATGTTGGTAGTCTAAAGTCCTTGGTTAGTCCTGGCTCTAGTTTATGCCTGGTTTTATTGTGCCTCCTTTTCCTCTTCTTCCTCCTCGAGCTCCACCAGGGCGGCGTGGCGATTGGCCTGAGAGCCTTCACTGAAAAACACCCTCTTGATCACTCCGGACTTAGGCGCTCGGATCGTGTGCTGTGGAAAAAAAAAAAAAAGGTGAATATATTTAAACAAAGAATGTAAGGATCAAAGCTACTGGCATTACTATGACACCTAAAGGTCTACTATGGAACTTTTCTCAGTAACCACTTGCTGTTGCCATACTGTCAAACATCAACACTCAATCTCCACCTCTTGGATGACTGTGTTTTTAAAAGGGCCTGTACACACTTTTTGTAATGTAAAGTAAAATGAGATTCTCCTCTTACCTCCATCTTCATCGCGATCATGACCATCAGTGCATCTCCAGCTTCAACTTTATCTCCGGCCTTCACGAAAACCTGAAGACACATTTTAGAACTTGTTAAAAACTAAAACTGTGACTAAGAGCAGAGCTGAGCAGTCTGTCAAAACTTTGATTCAGGTCGGGTCATTTCTTATGGTCAATGATCAGTTTGATAAGAGTGTTTGAAAATAATAAAATGCACCAGAACAGGGCTGGGTGACATGGCCAAGAAATAAAACCTCATTTTTGGATGATCAAAGTCAGAGCTGGGACTGCTCGTCTTTCAAACATTTTTATTCTCATCATATTTTATCTGAAATCAAATTGTAAACCACCTTAAATACTCAAACTTTTAATGCCACTGTGTGTGTTTAAAGGTGCATTGTGTAACTTTTCTGGTGGATGGTCTGCCTCCTGCTTTTGTGTCCATGGAGATGTTACTGCCGTGTCTAGAATGTTCCATATTGAAACATTAACATTTCTTAATAAGCTAGACCAAGTGACAGGTCAGATCTGTGTAGAGGCGACCCTGCTCACATAAGAAATCATTCATAAGGAACATTCCAGGTAAAGCAACCACATCTCCCTGGAGACAAGCAGGCAGTGGACCCCTCCAGCTGATAAGTTACACAGAGCATCTTTAAATGTTGACTGAATTCTGGTTTGAAAAATGAAATCCAAATTTACATGTGATAGAGATTTAATTGTAATTGCGCAAGAACCTCCGTTGGATTTAAGAAAGTCAAGCGTAAACTTGTTTCATAATAATGCTCAATTTCATGATTTAGCAATTTTTCTACATCTTGATGATTAAAACCTGAATTAATTTGATTAATTACCCAGCCACACAACAGGGGCAGGAAATATGCAGTGTTTTCACATTCCAGTGATATTATATTATATTATAATAACAACAGGGATGTAACAATAACTGAAATATCGTTATATCGTATCATCAAAAGTCTCTCAGTAATATCGTGGGCTGTCACAATACATCGAATCACAAGTTCATGGTTTTATAGAAGCAACAGTTTATAAACATAAGGAACTACATATCCCATGATTCATTTCAGCGCAGACAACATGAAGACATATGTTTTTGACTTGAATTCTTGGGATTATGACAGAAATAATTCACACCAAAATCTTGTCAAGCTATTTCAAAAGCATTGTCCCATGTACAATTATATGAACCTCTTCAAAATATCGTAATAAATATCGTACTGTGAGATGCATATCGTGATAATATCGTACTGAGAGATTTGGATATCGTTACATCTCTGTATAATAACACTGTACCCCTCATACCTTCTCTATGGTGCCGGTCATAGGGGCCACAGCTCCTCCCTGGGCCCCAGATCCACTCACTCCAGCCAGGTGTTTGGGCACCGGGAGAGACACCTCTGCACTGCCCTCCTGAACACAGAGAACAAGAAACAACTTCAGTCTGCCATACTCTGCGCAACTTTTCTGGTGGAGGGTCCACTACCTACTTGTCTCCATGGAGATGTTATTGCTTTGCCTGGAATATTCCATGATATTACATTAAACATAAACATATTAATCTGTGTATCGTTTGTTCATTCGTTTTTCAATATAAAACCAAAAAAAGAAAAAAAAAAAAAAAAAAAAAGGATAACGGCCGTTTCCTGTTTCCATGACTTAAAACTGCGATGCCGGACTGAGGCTGGGATTAGACCGGAACTGAGACCGGAACTGAGACCGGAACTGAGACCGGAACTGAGACCGGAACTGAGACCGGAACTGAGACCGGAACTGAGACCGGACTGAGACCGGAACTGAGACCGGGACTGAGACTGAGACCGGAACTGAGACCGGGACTGAGACCGGGACTGAGACCGGGACTGAGACCGGGACTGAGACCGGGACTGAGACCCATTTTAGTCCTGTTTTAGTCCTTTTTAAGTCCTGTTTTAGACTTGGTTTAGACCTGGTTTAGTCCTGGTTCAGTCTGTATGCAGCACATAAGTCCTGCATCACAGTTTAAGTCACGGAAACGGGAAACGGTCGTTATCCATTTTTTCCATTATTCATTTAAACATTAAAAAAAGATAACAATTGTTTTTTCATTTTTCGATTTTTTCATTTTGGTTTTGGAGACAAATAATGAAGAAAATAGTTGTTTTTTCATTTTTTCTTTCATTCTTATTTTTGGTTTTACTTTGAAAAACAAATGAACAAATGATACATGAACTTCTTAGGTGAACTGGGGCGAGTATTTTTGAGCGATAAAACCACCTGTAATTGAATAAATGTAAAGTAGAGCTGTTTAATGTCACACTGTGGAACATTTCAAGTAGAGCAATGACATCTCCATAGAAACAAGCAGGTGACAGACCCTCAACCACAAAGTGACATAGTGCATCTTTAAGTAATAATAATAGACCTCAGTATTTCTTTTACAATCTAATCTATGGATGAAAAACGTGAGTCATGTTTGAGGAAGTGGTGTCCTGCAGCTTTAATGGAGCGAGGACATTTTCTATCAAGGCTTTAATGAGAGAATCGATTCAAACAAAGCATCAGAGGTGGACTATAGATTTTCCATTAGTTCATAAGCCAAGATATTATAGTTTAAATTGGTAACACATGAATCACCCATTTCAAGACAAAATCCATTCTGTAATAAAAGCTGAACGTGCCGCTCCATCTGAACTCTGTGTTAACGGCAGATGTGACAGAAAAGGTTCCTAGAGTGTGTTCTTAAAGCCGCACTATGTAACTTTTTGTTTTGGCGTCCGTCACCTGTGTGTTTCTATGGAGATATCATTGTTCTGTCTGGAATGTTACACAGTGGCCACGTTTACATGATGTTTTTTAATTCAAATTTAATTATTCCGAATTAATTCATTTGAAATTAAATTATTCTATTTCGAGCTTACGTGGAAATAATCATTCCGAATTAAGGTTTACATGGAAAACACGTTAAATCATGTTTATTTAATTCTGCTCAACGTCTGGTGGTGAGGAAGGTTCTGATTGGACAGAGACACAAACGTATTTACGTCGACGGGAAGAAAACACACACTTCAGCTGCTACCGGCTTTTTTGTCATCTCGGTTTGTTGTTATGCGTGGGGATGTGTACCGCTGTGTTTTAATCTTTATCATTATGTTTTGATTTGTTTTTATTATGATTTTAATGTATTTCTTATTCTGTAAAGCACTTTGAATTACTTTGTGTACGAATTGTGCTATACAAATAAACTTGCCTTGCCTTGCTGTTCCCCCACCCATACAACAGCGTCCAAACCCAGACCCGGTTCAGGTCGAGCCCCGATGAGTTGGAGCGTGGAGTGGTGTTAGGTGCCTGGGCCTGAGAAGTGTTTTCCCCAAGGAAGAACTGAAAGGACAGACCGCTCAGAACAGGATATAATGAACCAAACGGGATTCACGCTTCTGTCTGGATGTTTTTCACCACCTCGGAACCAGCCGCGGTAATGGGGCATGGAGGACAGGAGCAGCCCGCCCAGACCTGTAGTCCACAGCGCATTCTCAGTTTCACCGCACGGATCCACTGGTCTTGCTCGTCCCCGTCTTGTCCCAGCACATAGAGGACGGAGCCTATGGACCTGTCTGACCAACCCGCTCGGAGAACAGCACAAGATCAAGAAGGGGCTGCGTGCTGTGGTGAGTGCTAACATGTCTTTACCGCTGTTACGCGGACTCAGAGCTTCTTCTTCTCCGGGCTGATGTGCGGTGAGTTGTGTAAAGCTCTAAGCCACATGTTTTATGAGTTCATCAAGAGAACTTGGGATGAGGATGGCTCAGGTGTTAACGGAGAACCTCAGCACCTTTCGCAATTACATAGGCAACGGGAAACAGAGATTCGGAGACCCAAACATGATACAAACTTTTTTCACCATATTACAGTGCGTCATCGCGTCAGAAGTGCGATCCAACACACATTCACTGAACGACCGGAATTATTTTTTAAGCGGAATAAACGCTTACATGATCGCGGAATAAATTAATTCCTCTTTAAAATCGGAATAAACCACCCACTAATTCCGATTAATCATTAGGAATTAAGTGTTTACATGTTCTTTTTAAAGTGGAATTAATTTTTATTCAGAAATAAATATTTTTTTATCGGAATTAAAGCTCTCATGTAAACGGGGCAAGTATGACATTAAACAGCTGAACTTTACTTTTTTTTTTACAGGTGGTTTTATAGCTCAAAAATACCTAGGAAAAACAGACATTTTGACTGTGGCGGGGTCGCCTCTCCACAGATCTGACCTGTAACTTGGTCTGATAGAAACGTTTAATGCCATACTGTCAAACATTCCAGAAAAAGCAATAAGGTGTGCAAGATGGAAAGCATTTGACGGAACCTCTACCAGAAAAGTTACAATCTTGTAGTTGGATTGTGTATTTTTAGGCAATTTTAAAAGGTGCTATAGCTGATTTTTACAGTCTTGTGATGTGAAAAAAACACAACTCGTTCATTTTAAACAGGTTGCAGTGTCCAAAGTTCTTCCTCACTGACCTTATACATTCTGAGCATCCTAATTATTCACCTTGATGAGTTTAGAAGCGCTTTTCTCGACTTTCAGACACCAGAGTGGAGTTTTGTAATTACAACTAGTATGCCTTCCTCAATCAAACTTTATTTATAGAGGCCTTTAGAACACTCAAGGTGACCAAAGTGCTTTCCAATAAAATCAATAGAACATAAAATCATTCTAAATATGAAACAATGAAATAAATCAAATTGTTCAGAGTGTCACTTCATTACCAAGTGTTAAAAGCCTGAGTCTGAATAAATTAGTTTGAGCCTGGATTTAAATAGGCCAAAGTCTGTGATGGTGCACAAATCAACGGGCAGTTTGTTCCAGAGTCTGGGGCCAGCGACAGAGAAAGCCTCATCAGTCCAGAGTTTGAGTCTGGCTCTGGGGCACGTCCTGGTTCATGGATGATAAAAACACTTTATAATTAGATGCAGACAGCGCACAGTGGACTTGGATTGTAAAAGCAGTTCTTGACGAGGGCTGGGTAGCATTGAGAAGTTGCCGATACGATACATACCTCGATACATAGGCCATGATACAATACATCTCTCAATACAGTGAGATTTCAATTCAGTACAATATATTTCAAATCAATTCGATACAGTTCAATAAAAAGCTAAATCATGGCTGTGATACTAAAAGTATTTGATAAAATACTTCTTTTGCAAAATTATTATGAAAAACAGCAATTTTTAAAACAGTGAAAATTTCGTTCCTCTGAACAAGCAAGAATTTCGTTCCTCTGAACAAGCAACAAAATTGTAACTGTAACAAAATAATTTTGTAAAATAAACCAAAAAACACTTTTGGCGATATATTGATACAGCAGCCCACGATATCGATACTGCACCATCACATTAAATGATAAAATATATATCAATATTTCAATATTTCCACTAGTGCTGTCATGCGATTAAAAAAATTGAGAGATTAATTAATTATGATCTGTAATTAATTAATCTAATTAATCTCATTTTAATCTCACCTAAAAATTGCTGAGAAAAGCCTTCAATTTGAGGTATTTTCATTTAAATTCATTATTACATTATTGTGGCAGATCAAAAGACTGATTATAGATTTTAAAAAGTGACTTTATAAAGTCATTTATTGTTTAACAAATCTCTCCAAATTGGCTGTTGAGCCCAAGTCTCCATGAATAAGAAACTGTTTGTTGTAAAGTAGCAAAGACGAGGAAATCTGAACATAATAACTTTTGTCTACTTAAAGACAATAAAAAGTCCAGTCTTTCCTTAACCAGATTAAAAATATTATTGATAGAGAAATGCTTTATATATGAGATCACTGTTTTTAGTCCTGGTTTAGACCTGGTTTAGACCTACTTTAGTCCTAGTTTAGTCCTGGAATGGATTAATCCTGGTTTTAGTCCTGGTGTTAGTTCTGGTTTAGTCCTGGTTTAGACCTGGTTTAGTCCTGGTGTTAGTCCTGGTGTTAGTCCTGGTGTTAGTCCTGGTGTTAGTCCTGGTTTAGACCTGGTTTAGACCTGGTTTAGTCCTGGTTTAGTCCTGGTTTAGACCTGGTTTTAGTTCTGGTTTAGTCCTGGTTTAGACCTGGTTTAGACCTGGTTTTAGTTCTGGTTTTAGTTCTGGTTTAGTCCTGGTTTAGTCCTGGTTTAGACCTGGTTTAGACCTGGTTTAGTCCTGGTTTTAGTTCTGGTTTAAGTTCTGGTTTAGTCCTGGATTAGTCCTGGTTTTAGTCTTGGTGTTAGTTCTGGTTTAGAGGTTCACAGGAGGAAGCGCGGTTTACAATGTATTTTATAAAATCAGAGACTAGGAACTGACATTTCATCTTGAAAGGCAAGTTCTAGTAATAACAATAGAACAGAGAACAACAGGCTGAAGGCGTTAATATGTTAACGTAACATATGAACAGTTATTCAGATAATTATAGCATAAACAACAGAACAAGTTTACCGATCTCACTCCAAATCACTAAATCCATTGAATTCTTCATCCTCTGTGTCACTTCTGTGAAACTTCCGGAGATAGATCCATGATGTAAATGGAACACCACTTCCTCTTCTGTGTCGCTGTCATCAGACTCAGCATCAGTTCCAGTTACAATTATTCTGGTCTTTCTGAATCCCGACAGGATGGTTTCGGTGTCACTGAAGTCCAGGCTTTGTCCATCCATCCAGTGACTTCCAGGAAAGTTACATGGCACACCCACCCAGGTGCCATGAAGCTGTGGATGAAGTGTTCTCCATCCCCGCTTTCCGCCAGTCAATCACAAGTTTCTCACTCACTCCAAACTTTCTTTCTGCTGCTCAATTACCGTTTTCGGCTGAATATTTCACTATTTGCGTCAAGACAGCGGCTTTTTCTAGGCACGCGCAGTAGAGTGAAGTGACAGTGGTACAGGGGTAATAGTAGTACTAGATACTGACACACAAGACTAGAGCCTCTCGCGGCTGTCAGTCTGAAAATTTTAATATACAAGTTGCATTGGAGTATAAGTCGCAGGAAACACCCAAACCATGAAAAAAGCGCGACTTATAGTCCGAAAAATACGGTAAGCAACAACTAAACTTGGATTAAATCGGGTCTAATTATAAAACGGTTTAATGTCTGAACACCAAATTAGTTGATAGCATGCTTATGTTTTGTTAGTATTATTATGTCATCTGAAAGTTGGGACTATGGACCATTGCAAACTGTGTAAAATGAAATAATTCTGTTATTAAGACTGAAAAAAACCCTGCTTAAATTATAGTAATATTCTTGTAGTGGTGATCGTATTACCATGGAGAACAGATGCACGGTGTTGTTGAGGATGACGATTTTGGGGCGGGACTTGACTCCGTTCACTGAGCAGTGAAGAAACGACGCTCCGCCCTCTGACTCCACCTCCCCGCTCACATGGTACAGCTCTCCACCAATCTGAGGACAGGAAAAACAACACAATAGGAAAATCAACACTGAAATATGGCAGATGTTTTGACCATAGATATAGAACGGTAGATCTCGCATTCAGCCTCTTGACGTGTGTTAATACCACCGCCGCCATCAGCTTTTCATAGTATCAGCGAGAGAAGATGCCGGACTTTCGCGCCGCAAACAAACAAGCGAGCGAATGAGCGGAATAACAAGAAGAAAGAGCAAAGCAGAACATTTCATAGGTAAGATTTTACTTTGTAGGCCCATGATACTAAATGTTGTGTTTTGAACCCAGACTGACTGGAACCAGGACTGGAACCTGGGCTAACCCAGGACTAATCCAGGACTAATCCAGGACTAAACCAGGACTAAACCAGGACTAAACCAGGACTAAACCAGGACTAAAAACAGGACTGAAAACAGGACTGAACTAGGATTGAAACCAGAGCTGAACTTGGACTAAACTAGGACTAAACTAGGACTGGAACCCAGGACTGAACCCAGGATTAAAACAGGACTGAACCTGCGACTAAACCAGGACTGAACCAGGACTGATGGGGGGAAGGGGGCTGATGCTCTTTGGTCTGTGAGAAACACTGATATGTCCTTGTCCCAGATTGATGTTCATTCATCAGTAAAATGATGGCTTTTTGAAGCATTCATTCAAATAAACAGCGTGTGCTTGGACAATAAAAGTTTAAGTTAAGTTTCTTCTACTTTTTAGTTATTGGGCATTTGTTACATTTTTATAGACATTTCTATTACGTTCTGAATAAAATTATGAGTGGAATGTTCACGTGTTGACTAATTAGCAGCATTTCTATTTTCATAATTAACAGAGAGAAGCCAATTTTAAGTTGCACTAAGTTGCACCTCCACCCACAACCACATCAGTTGTGGATTGTTTTTGAACACAAAGCTGCACATTTATCTACAGTTTGCACTGAAATCGCCAAAAATAAAAAATTACTTGGAACAATACTACTAAACACTAAACACAATTTAGTAGCAAAAAACTGTATTAAGTGTTTAGTTCCGCTTTAAAAGACACACATGATGCAAAATCAACACTTAAAAGGTGCACTGTGTAACTTTTCTAGTGCAGAGTCCATCACCTGCTGTCTCCGTGGAGATGTTATTGTTATGCCTGGAATGTTCCAGGGTATGACATTAAACACATCTATGTACCATTTATTAATTTTGGGTGTTTTTATTGCTCAAAAATACAATAATTCTCTCTGTGAAAAGGGTTGCCTCTTCACAGATCTGACCTGTAATGTAGCCTATAGTTGTCTCCCTTGAGATGGATTTAGGTTTAATCTCTTCTGTAGAACATTCTAGACAAAACAATAACATCTCCATGAAGACAGATAGGTGACGGACTCTCCAGAAAAGTAGCACAAATGATGAAGCTCCCCAGAAATGCACCAAATGTAATGCTTTCTTTGTAAACCTATTTGGTCACAAAAGTTTCTAACAAGGTTAAAAAGTCTAAATAGCTGCTTTTGCCTTTACATAAGCGATTTCTCTCACCTGCATGGTGTAGCTCCCGTCCTTATTGTAGGTGACCACCACCTCCACCTCTGCAGAGACACAAGTTTAGAGCCTCTCACAGGTTACACACACAGAGGAGTGAGCATTCTAAACCGAGCAGGTGGAGCAGTGACAGCAGCAGCAGATGGAGCACATTTTGGCCTTGATTTGACATTTAAAAGAAAACTGCATAATTTACAGAAGGTCGTTAAAGCAGAAGAGGAGGAGGGGAGAGGTCATTCATTATTCAAACAAAACAGAGGAGAGCCAAGGATCCGTCACTGAACCTGTACAGACCACTGTACCACTGTGGGTTTATCTGAAGACCACATGCACCTGTCCATCAACTCACACGAATCTGACACAGTCAATACTTCATTATTCAGACTATTAGGACCAAATACAAATACAGACACATACATGAAAACTGTACAGACAGGCCTGAGTGCTGGCCACTTGACCACTGCACTGGGGCATCATGTACTCTGATGTTCACAGCTATTCGCCCAAAACAAAAGCCATACACCCACAAAGCCCCTGTCCTGACAGCAAACCTGTGTTCAACCTGTTTTAAACCTGTTTTAAACCCGAGTGGACTCACTCTTATCTCCGAGCTGCAGACTCATGTTTCTGCTCAGCTCCAGGTTCAGTCTGAAGCCGCTGCTGGAGCCGAACGGAGAGAATGGGTCTGGAAAGAAGAGCACTCATATAGCAACTGTGTAGCATAAGATGTATCTATGTCCATGGAGAATGTTCCAGAGTATGGTTTTAACTTTAGTGATGATGTGCCACAGTGTTATTTGAACCTGTTACCATTAGACTGCTGTGTGAATGTGTGAGTTCCACTCTGCTCCTGCAGGACCAGGCCCAGGGCAGCCTGACACAGAGTGTCCCCAGATGGAGCTCTCGGAGTGGGGAACAGGTCGGCGTAGTGCTGGGGGATGAAGCTGGTGCTCACGTTTCCCGCCTCAAACTCTGGGTGAGACGAGAGACTCAGCAAAAAGTCTATGTTTGTGTTTAGGCCCACAATCTGGAAATAGAGGAACAAATAGAAGTAATCAATCAAGTATTAATACTAACTGTCACATGTCAAATTTTACTGCATATTTTGAATATATTGTGATTTAAATGTGACATATAATGCAAACATATCTTTTTAGAGCTTTTACCCACGTTATAATTGTTTCCCCTTCTTATTTGCCCTCTTAAATGTGTCCATTAGGCACATAATGCAGTTCAGAATAAACCCAGTAGCCTCAGAATGATACAGATTTAAAATCATACAGATTTCTCTTTGTAGATTTCAGACTTATGTTGTTTCTCTTACGTTGTATTGTCTTAAACAGTATCTGAGTTTCTTCAGAGCGGCTGATCGGTCCTCTCCCCAAACCACCAGTTTAGCGATCATGGGGTCATAGTGAGCAGACACTTCATCTCCTGTGAAATCAAAAGAAAGAAAAAGAAAGGAAGAGATTTATTATATCAAATACTAAAATCTGTGTTATCCTTATGGACCACCTTGTGATGTCATGTGGTAATACAGGAAATGTTCTATTGCATATTTAAACTTCACTAGAATCACTTGAATGATTTCATCCCTGGAAATTCCAATCTCTCCTGAACTAAAGGTAAAAGGAGCTGTTCACTTGGAAACTACCACTTCATGACATCACAAGATGGAATGGAGCGTTTTGAGCTTATATATATAAACAGATATAAACAGACTAATAATAAAGAGTCAGTCAAATGAGTGTGAATGAAACAAACACAACTCCAGGTCTGAGGTAAGAATATTATAACATGACTTAAAGTTCAAAAAGAATACATTTTGGTTATTCTTCTATTCTTTTTAAATACTAAATGGTCATAAATTTACTCAATCAATAAAGTCGAACCAGACTATTATATGGTGCCATTTTGAGAACTGTTGACTATTCAAAAGATATTATAGATATAGATAGTTTTGAATTGTTAGTTGCTATGGAAACTGAATAAATTTTTCTTCATTCCGAAGCCCATGGATAGAATATTACACTTGAGCTTTATCCTGTGTGCCTCGTACCTTCTCTGACCCCTGTCTCGATGCGTGTGCTCTGGTCCGCGGCAGGTGTCGACAGGTGCAGCAGGGGGCCGGCTCCTGGCAGGAAGTCGTTGTTGGGGTCTTCAGCGTAGATCCTGGCCTCAAACGAGTGTCCCTTTAAGATGATGTCATCCTGAAGCAGAGGGAGACGCTCGCCTGCCGCCACCTACAGACCACAGGAGGAGACATCAGCCTGTGTCCTTGGATGTCCCCTCTCCCCTCAGACGACTGAGGAGCAGACAGGAGCAGACAGGGGCAGACAGGGGCAGACAGGAGCAGACAGGGGCAAAGACTGGGGAGCTTGAGATTTCACTAATTCTGAAAATGGTATCATCATTAAAATAGGAGCATTTGTGAGCTGATATGATGAAGTAAAATGAGTGTTAACCCTGTGACAGCCAATATGAATGTGTGCATTATTTCCTCTAATTGAACACATGCTACACAGAGGTTAAAGTACACACTTTATTGTCCTTGAAAACAAATGCATCCTCTGCATTTGACCCATCCTTCGGTGTCTCTGGGCTAAACCTGTCAGGAGCTCAGAGACTCATCTCAAGATCTAAAGCGAGTCTTGGTCAGGCCTGCCTGGGCTGGAGGATTTGAACTGTTGTGCATGTTTTGGGCTGCATTCCACCAGTTTATGAAATATACAGTACCATATGTAAGAAATTAATATAATAAATTGCTTCTTCTTCATTTGTGTTCCCTTTTCTAATAATTTTTATATTTATTATAACAGATTGTAGCTACTCGAATTTTGTTCATTTGATGTTTTGATCACTTGATGTTGCCACTCACGAGTGTCCTGCATCAAACAGCTTTTGTCCCTCACTACAGTTATTCCAAATGCACTATTGACTTGTGCATAGCCTCTATATTCCTGAAAACCTGCTGTTGTAGTGCCTGGTCCTCACCCGGAGCTGCCACTCCACCAGGTCGGTCCCTGTGATCATCTCTGACACAGGGTGCTCCACCTGCAGCCGAGTGTTCATCTCCATGAAGTAAAAGTTGTGCTGAGCATCCATGATGAACTCCACTGTCCCTGCACAGAGACAGGGGACATACACACATATGAATGTGTTACATTCTGATACACAGGGATGACATTTTAGTCGACAATGTTAAAATATACTTAAGTATAAAAGTAAACAAACTCTTACTTAAATGTTCTATTCTTTTTATGTATGTATTCATTTTTTGTTTTGTTTTATTTTGTAGTCTAACAAACAGGGGAATAGATCTTTTGTCCTCAAGTCCAAGCTTTTACTGTACAAAGTAACCTAGGGCCTAATCCACTGTAATATTAAACATCTTATATTATATTGACGGGCAGCCCTCAGGTTAAGAATGACTTCCATAAACCAAAACAGACTGAAGTTCAGACTTCAATATCTAATATAATATAAGACAATGTAATGTCTAATATGAATATCCAATGTCTAATATCTAACATGAATGTCTAATATACTGGTGAAACTTTTCTCAAATTCTCCATTGAAATTAAAGGTAATTCCATTAACACCACTAACATATGATATAAAGATATAAAGTAGGCACATCTGTGTCAAATGGTCAATGTTCATTTGACCTGAGATAAGAGATTTTTATGTGACCAAACCATCTTGTCAAAGCCTGATCTTGTCAGATCTCAGAAGCTCATCAGGGCCGCACCTGGTTAGTACTTGGATGGGAGAACGCTGGGAAAATCAGGAGCCACAGGGGGGCGCCAGTTGCAAAAACTGTTATTGTGTCCTTAGGCAAGACACTTCGTCCACATTACCTAGTATAAAAATGGTGTGTGCAGGAGTGGTGGTGGTGATGGCACAGCCCCGCTTCTGTCAGTCTGCCCTAGGGCAGCTGTGGCTACAACAGTAGCTCACACCACTGAGTGTGGAGTGAATGAATAACGACATGTAAAGTATCTGAGAAAAGCACTACAGTATATAAAACTGATGCATTATTATTACTGCTATATTTCTATATTTAATTTCTACTAGAACGCAAACATTTATGTAATTATACCTTATTTGACCAGCAACTTGTTATTTTTGCTATATTTATGTTTTGGCTCTTTGGTGTGGCATAGACATAGACACAAACTAACATTACTGTTCCACAAGGGAAATTATTTGGACACAGTCGCTCACACATCAATATAATATGATCATAAAGAGCAAATATATAATAAATTCAAAATGAGTAGCAATAGCAAGAGACTGGTTTAAAATAAGGCAAAATTATTTAAATGTATATGTACAAGTCAGAATAAAAAATCAATGTGAGGATTGCTGAGAAAAGTTGACTGTTTATTTAAATGACAACTGACCATTCGCTCTGTATACCAGTTTGTTTTGTTATATTCTCTTATAAAACAATATGAATGAAACAATGAAATACAAGTAAAAAATAAAAGTAAAAAAATGAAATATAGTAATACAAATACATCTCAGCTACACACTACAAGAAGTTGTAAGGAGAAGTAGATTGACTTGTGTAAAATGTTCAGTGTTCATGTGCACCAACAAGTCACACTGCACTGATTCTCTGTAGGCTTTAAAACAGTTTTTTGGTCCGTGTAGAATTTATTTGCTGTGAGATTGGTAGCTCCATGCAACATAATAAAACCTGAATGAGGATGGCGGCACCCACAGCAGGAGCTCCTTTAAATCTCTGAGTCTGTCATGTAAATAAAGATGTTATTTCCTTCTCACCTGCTCCCACGTAGTCCACAGCTTTTGCTGCTCGAACAGCTGCTTCTCCGAGTCTCCTCCGGACCTCAGCGCTGATGCCAGGCTGAAAATCAAAAACAAACACAAACACTTCAGTAAAAAATAAACCGTTCCACCTTGATCTTATCTTGCATAAAATAAATACTTACCCCAGGAGCTTCCTCTATGATTTTCTGGTGTCGTCTCTGAACGCTGCAGTCTCGTTCAAACAGATACACTGCGTTACCGTGCATGTCCCCAAACACCTGCACCTCCACATGTCTGCAACAGGAAAGAGGATGAAGTGCAGGGATTAAGGCAAGAGATGGACAAAATACCTCACTTTTTTAATCAACAAAATTCTAGAAAATAATCCAGATATGACATTCCCAGTTTGTCATCTCTGATGCACTTCAAAATGTGTGGAAACTCCAAACTACCATATTTTTTGGGCTATAAGTTTCACTTTTTTTCATGGTTTGGGTGTTTCCTGTGACTTATACTCCAGTGCGACTTATATATTAATTAAAATGTTCACAGTGACAGAGGTGAGAGGCTCTAGTCTTGTGTGTCAGTATCTGCTGGTCCTGTTCCTCCTGTACCACTGTCACTTCACTCTACTGCACATGTCTCCTGTGTGTCAGTCAATCGCACCATTACTTCTGTAACACTGAAAATTTTACATTTAAGTGAATTCAGTGACAACCAAAACCATCCTGTCGGGATTCAGAGAGGCCTGAATAATTCTAACTGGAACTGATGCCGAGTCTGACGACAGCGACACAGAAGAGGAAATGGCGCTCCGTTTACCTCTGGAGGTCGTAGAGTTGTTCAGAAGTGACACAGAAGATGAAGAATTGAATGGATTTAGTGATATGGAGTAAGATGGAGAGTTTGGTAAACTTGTTCTGTTCTGTTTTTTATGTTTCTGTTATGTTTCTGTTGTTTGTGTTATAGTTATCTGAAGAACTGTTCACATGTGACGTTAACAATCTGTTGTTCTCTGTTCTGTTGTTTTTACTAGAACTCCACTTTCAAGATTAAATGTTGGTTCCTGGTCTCTGATTTTCTAAAATAAATTTCAAAAAGTGCGACATGTTTTTTCTTCTTCATTATGCATTTTTTGGCTGGTGTGATTTATACTCCGGAGTGACTTATAGTCCAGACAATATGGTAACTGAAGAATAAAGCAGTAAAGCTAAAATGGTTGGTGGCTGCAAGACTATACACTCAACAAAAACACACACACACACAAAACTGCCATTATATCTAGGGATCTCCAAAGCTGAAAATGCTCTGTTCCACCTTGTGATGTCATGTAGTGGAAGTTATATATCACATTTTAATTGAACTGATTGAATATATTCTCAGTCAGTAAAATTGTGTGGTTTGAAGCAGAGCTCAGACTTTGGATAAATAAATTGTACTGTTTTGTGTATTATATATATTACACAGAGTATTACATTAATATAAAATCAAGCAACCAAAGGGAGGGGGAAAACGTCATTTATGTATTTATTTATATTTTTATTTTGTATTATTATTATTTACCATTCATTTATTTTCTGTCATATTACCCAGTCCTGATTTTGTATTAAAGAAACTGAATTTGATTGATTGTGATATTGGTAGCTATATCTCAGCTTTCCTTAATAAAAAAAAAAATGCAGATTGACATCAGCAAAAATCTGATGTTGGCTACAAAAGACACTATATCAGCTAAAAAAAAAAAAAAGAGTGAGCAGTGTCTAAAGCTAAAACAGAGGCGACAGAGTAAATTAGATGGAGCTTAGTAAATTAGGTAAAGTACCTGGGATCTTCTACAAACTTCTCCACCAGCATTACGTCATCATTGAAAGACTTCCTGGCTTCTCGTCTCGCAGATTCTAACTGCTCCAAGAAATCCTTTTCCGACCGGGCAATACGCATCCCCTGTACACAGACAAAAATATGTTTAGAAGTAAGAAATAAATCATGGAACATTTCACTTAAAGGCGCTGTACCTCATTTTTTCTATCTTAAAAACGTGAAAAACAGAACTAGTTTGCAGTGGTCCAAAGTTATTCCTCATTTACCGTATGAGATCAGGGTATCCCAATTATTGTCCATGATGAGTTTATAAGAACAACTTGCATGCTAACTGTGCATTTCCTGATTATCGGACAATAAAATGCTTTCAAAATAGATGCAGACAGTACACAGTTGTATATGTACTGGGGACATTTTTGTTCAAATACAGGGGAAAAAAAATCAGGTACATGACCTTTAAAGCTGCATTCATTGCATGTGTAACTTTTGTGTTGGAGGGTCCATCAAATGCTCTTCTCCATGGAGATGTTATTGCTTTGTCTGGAATGTTTCACAGTATGGCATTAAACCTTTCTATCTTCATGAAGATCAAACCAGAGCAAATTACAGGTCAGATCTGTGGAGAGGCGACTCCGCTCAGTCAGAAAGCCTGTTTTTCTAATTACCGTAATTTCTGGACTATTGAGTCCACCTGAATATAAGCCGCTTCAACAAAATAAAAAATAAATAAATAAAAAAATTGTACATATATAAGCCGCACTTGTCTATAAGCCGCAGGTGTCTACGTCTTCAAGAATGTTTTCAAGTTGGGGCTATCTGCTTTTATTGCCTGTGAAAGCTTTTGTCGTCTTTCAGCTTTGAGTTAGTTCTTCACGCTGCCAGTGCCAACATCTCACCATCAATTCACTGATGTCGAGCTCATGTGCAGCAGCTCTGTTTCCTTCTTCCACAGCCACATCAATTGCTGTTAACTTAAAAGCTGCATCACCTGCATTTCTTTGTGTGTTTTCAATGAGGGTGTGTGCATGAAGTGCAACATATCTATTCAAACACAATCAAATTAGCATCTTCCTCAGAGCATCATCTTTCCCACCTGTCTGCACCGCCCCTGAAGGCCTTACCCATAAAAATCTATAGAGGGATTATCAGACATCACTTCACGCTCTACTGCACATGTCTCCTGCAGAAAGAGTCTCTGTCCTGTCTGTGTCATGTCAGTGTCTTGTACAATTTTAGCAGATTTCAGAGTCTCTCGGGGGGCGGGGCTAGGTGTGTTGATCAAGTATGAGTGGATGTCAGGTTACTGAAGTTTGAGATATTTCTTCTCGTCATTTACACAACTCACCTACTTTAACATATATGGGTCATTAAGCCGTATCCCACTCACTAATGTTCATTTAGCATCAGAACTTATTTTATCATCGATGCCACTTCAGGTTAACCACATAGACAGCGACCGTTTCTGCACTCAGTATTTAAGAGAAGTAGAAAGCGGGTTACTGTAGCTGGTATATTCCGATAGTAACCAGGATACTGTAGCATGTAAACGCAGTATCCCGGTTACTGCAACAAAGTTGAGTGTGCATTAGGGATGGGCATGATTAATCGATTAATCGATAATTGATCATTAAGAATTTCATCGATTACGTTAATTTTAATCAACAAACCGAATGTAGGTTGCTGTGCGTAGCGTGACCAAACAGGGGTCCGTACATGTGTCTCTCTGCACTCAGAAGGAGCGAGCAAACACAAACAGTAGGTCAGCCTGCAGCGTGCCGAAGCACAAATGTGTATTTAACGATGATTTGTACAAGAAATTCCACGCTTTCTGTTGCGTTCGGGACAAGTGGGAGTCCATGTGCACAGTGAACAAAGCAGCACATATGTTTCGGTGTCCAGTGGGAAAAAGTTTTACCAGGTGAGAGTCGCACAATGTCGATGACGAGTCCCAACCTCCCACCCCCCATACAGTGTCCTGGTTTTGACAAACGCAAATCTGGTCACACTAACCTGTATTCCACTGAGTCATGTCTTTTAATCCGACAGAAATTGACCGCATCAGCGACACAAGAGCTGTAGTTTTATCTTCGCTTAGTTTATGCAAATTAGCGATGTGGTTTTAAGTTTAGTTTCTGTGAGAGTTGCACAAAACTGAATTAAACACATTATAATGTCAAACGGGCTGATGTGGCTCTAGAGTCGTTACGGTTTATATGTCATAAAGTTGAATTTATTTATGCAGATTAGTAGTGCAGATAGTAATAATAATGATGATCATTTTAATATAAAAACGTTAATGATTAATCGATAATCGATCGTTAATTCTTCCGACGATCGATTAAGAAAATTTCATCAAATGCGCATCCCTAGTGTGCATGCGTCCAAAAGACACTTTCCAGTCTTTTCACCACAACAGTAGCGACATAAATACATTGACCAACATAAATAAAGTGACCACACGAGTGAAATGACTGTAAAATTAAGAGCTGCACTAAACCTGCACATGTACAGTCTGCACTCGTATGCACTCGTGTGATCGCTGAAAAGCTAAAACATGAACTATCTCCTATACGATATATGCACAGAACAGACTCACCATCATCAGCACCTCTTCTGTCACAAAAAGAAAAAACATAATCCACTGTCATGTCATTTAGGCCGAAAGAAGCTGATCGCATCAGCGGCACAAGGAGCAGCTGTTTTTATCACCGCTAACAGTTTATGCTAATTAGCCATGCGGTCTTAAGTTTTGTTTCTGTAAAACGTAAACAAATGTGATCAAAGCTGAATTATATTATTAAACGGGCTGATGTGGCTCTACAGTGGTTATGGTTTATGTGTTGTAAAGTTGAGTTTATTTATGCAGACGATTTTTATGAAGAATCTGTTGGGTTTGATCTGCACAGTGGATTGTGGGAGATCTCACAGCTCCTCACCGCTGGTTAAACCTCCCGAGCTTCTGCACTAAAGGAGCTCATGGTTTGTATTTTTCCTGGTTTATGAAATTGATTTAAGTTAATTTTTTCACTTGCACATTTGTAAGATTATGTCAAGAAACCGGGACACTCCATTTGATCATGTATACACGAATATGAGTATCCGGTTTCTCAGTGTGCATGTAAACGCAGTAACCCAAATACTGACATAACTGGGATGTGGCTAATAACCAGAATACTGTGCATGTGATGTGCATGTATACGCACTCACTGACATATCCCTCCTCACCTTCCCGCCTCCTCCTCTCACAGCTTTGATCATTACAGGATATCCGATCTGAGCCGCCTCTGCCTGCAGCCTCTCGTTTGATTGGTCGTCTCCATGGTAACCACCGATGATTGGCACCCCGGCAGCCGACATGATGTGCTTGGATGTGCTGAGGAAGAAGAGAAAAATAGCTGTTTTAAGTGATTTGGTGCACAACTGCGTAACATTTCTGATGGCAGGCACATCAGTGGCTGGTCTCCATGGAGATACAAGCGTTTAAGACATACTTCTAGGTACCAATAACATCTCCGTGGAGACAAGCCAAATTAGTGAGGTCTGTGGAGAATCAAGTGGAAAATAACTTTCTTTAGGCATCCCACAGTTTTAAAGCTAGTAACATTTCTGGCAGCACATCATCTGCTTGTCTTTGTGGAAATACACGAGTTAAAGCTACATTTCAGTAAGGACTGGGATTATATCAGAAGAGACCCGACAAATATTGAGAAATATTTTAGTGATCTACTTGAAAACTCTGGCGTATTGAAAAAGCAAGTGAGCAAGATTTACCAAAATTTGTTAATGGACATGTTTGATAATACAAATCATATAAAACAACAATGGGAAATGGAAATGAATGTGACTTTGGATGATGATACCTGGGAGAGTGTTTGTTCTGACTGTCATAAAGGGGTAGGAAGTCAGATTTGGAAGGAGTTTGACTGGAAGGTCAGATTAAGATATTTTAGAACCCCGCTCAAAACTTTTATTTCAAAATGTAGTGTTAGTGATAAATGTTGGAGAAAGTGTGGACTTGTGGGCCACCAGACTCACATATTTTGGGACTGTCCCAATATAAAAAGTTTCTGGATTAATGTTAAAGATGTTCTACAAAATATATTGGCTGCTGAGGGACCCAAAGATATTTCTGCTTGATATATTCCCTGATGGTCTCTCTCATGATCAGTGCTTTCTGCTGCATCTTCTTCTGATGACTGCAAGGAAAATGATCACTAGTGGATATCAAAAATCAGACAAGTTTATAAAATGGAACTGTTAACGGCTCAACTACAGCTCAAGGAGCCAACTTTTGAAAAGAAATAGATCCCAATTATTTGCTTTTTCAAATAAGATACGTATGCCCTAATATAAAAAAAAAAAAAGCTGTATTTCGGAACATCCTAGGTAAAGCAATAACATCTCCATGGAGATAAGCCAAGTTAGTCAGGTGTCTGGAGATGCAAGCCCACTCATGTTTTTGTAAAGTATTTTTGAGCACTAATGAAGTAAATAATTTGTTTGGTTTTATTTTGGTTTATTCATTGGCTGAAATGTTCCTCGGTGGTAGCCACGCTGGCGCCTCCTAGTGCCTCCTCTCAATTTCATTTCTCTCCAGCGAATATGTCAGAACCATATATTCACTGTTGTCAACGTTTCCCGAGATCGAGGATTTAAAGCCGGAATAAAGAAAATGGGATTTGGGAAAAGCTTAATGTGACATACGTGACTACCAAATAGCAGTGATTGGTTAAATGACAAAAAGAGTACCCGCCTACTGTCGAGCGAACAAATTCCAACACTGCGAGGTCAGAAGGTTTCTACGAAGTGAAATGAAGTGAAACCTGCTGATGAATCAGGCTACCTCAGTGGAGCTTTAACCCAAACTAATTCAAATCCATGCTCACATACCTTTTAATGCCCATGTCTCTGATGGCAGAAGATGGAGGTCCAATGAAGATGATGCCTGCTTCTTTACACGCTTCTGCAAACTCTGTGTTCTCTGAGAGGAAACCATATCCAGGGTGCACTGCCTATAAAGAAACACAGCAAGATAATCAATGCAACGTACCAAGTTAAAATTAACTTTAATTTTGATTCAAAATAAAACTACTACTACTACAATTCCGATTTACCGTTTGATTGTCAATACTAGAATTTGGGCATGGTTAATGTTGTAACGCACTGCTCAGTTAGGGAGTAATAGAAGTAAAAATCACCAAGACTTCAGAGATAATTAAAATTATACCTTATTATTTGATTTAAAAGATATTTTAAAAGTTCTGAATTTTAACTATATCATTCAAGCACTGTTTATTTATTCACAAGATAGCACTTTTTGCATTACATTTAGATTGCATCCTTAAAACGTAAAGACAGGTAATGCCATCCAAGATTAAGTGGTGAACAAAGTTAAGTTTTAAATCAAGAGACATGTTACCATTAAATATTGATGAATGAAACTGAATACCGCTACGTTGAAAATCTCACAAGATATTCTAGAAAATCAACTTTGCATTTGCATTGAAGTGTTGTTCTTGTTGTAACCACACAATCTTTCATCACCGTCTTCTAATTTAGTCCCAGGAATTCTGCAGCTCCTATGGGGTCTGTCCATGCAGATCCCACATGGAGACCGGCTGGTGTTCGCTTTGCAGGGCAGGTGAACAGGTGCTGTGTTGTATGAGGTGTTTGGTCACACTCTGGACAAGTGTTAGTGATTGTTCATGTCAATCCGACTGAGGTATGAGTTCAAGAGTCAACTGTATCCTGAGCACAGCTGACCCAGAGTGCACCTGGTGTCTCTGGGCAGCTGCAGTTCTACAGTGTCACTTTTGGGACAGGATCACCTGGGTGTTGAGTCCAGACAGAGGGGTACAGGCTGAAGCGGCTTGTGCTGCCATATGTAGGCGTATAAGGTGAACCCCACTTCTGTAACTGTCCTCATTGATGTTGGTGTTGTCAATGCCTATGATTTCTTTGACCTGCTCTCTGAACAGGGTGCTCAATGTCTCTCTGATGTTGTGGTTTCTGTCCGAGGAGTGGGAGATGGAAGTATTCAGCTCTGGAGTCTGCAGTCTTAGGAGGAGTTATGGTCTCTTACTTTCATAACATCCATTTCATGGTGGAGATGGTCAGTCGGGGTCATGTGTAGACAATCTGTTATTGTCCTAAGGGCAGCATTTTGTTTAATTTGGAGGTGCCCCCAGTTAATGTGGGACAAGTTTGGAGTCCAGACAGGTGCTGCGTAATCGAGCACTGGCACCGATGGATTTGTAGGTTGCGAGGAGCACCTCCCTTGAGCATGTCCATGTGGAACCAGCAAGCTTTTTTAGGATGTTGTTTCGCTCACCAAATTTAGTCGCACTGTTTTTACAGTGTTTTGAAAATGTCAAAGATTGGTCAACAGTCACACCTAAAACTTTGACTTACCTGAGCTGTGGGTATATCTTTATTGGCTATAGTCATCGGTTGAAGGGTTTGCGTTTTGGTACATGTTAAAGGAGTACTCACATGTGACCCAGACTTCTTGGCGACCTCCAAAACCTTCTCCATGGAAAGATAACTCTGCTGAGACGCCGCAGGTCCAATGTGATACGCTTCATCTGCCTAAAATTACAAAACATCATAATGTCTGTCAAATACCTTCAGTCATTAACCTGTTTCAAAGGCGCAGTACCTGACTTTTACCTTCTTTAAAACACAAAAAACAGAACTAGTTCATTTGAAACAGTTTGCAGTGGTTCAAAGTTATTCCTCCTTATGCATTTTGAGCATCTTTATTCACCGCACCAAGTTCATAAGTGCTTTTCACAACTTTTAGAGACAAGATATGGCCTCACAGTAGAGCTAACAACAACTAACATGTTAACCATGCACTTCCTGATTCTCAGACACTTTATAATTAGATACAAAGAGAATACAACTAGGGATGGGCATTCGATGAAATTTTCTTAATCGATCGTCGGAAGAATTAACGATCGATTATCGATTAATCATTAACGTTTTTATATTAAAATGATCATCATTATTATTACTATCTGCTCTACTAATCTGCATAAATAAATTCAACTTTATGACATATAAACCGTAACGACTCTAGAGCCACATCAATCCGTTTTAGATTATATTCTGTTTAATTCAGTTTTGCGGAACTCTCACAGAAACGAAACTTAAAACCACATCGCTAATTTGCATAAACTCAGCGAAGATAAAACTACAGCTTTTGTGTCGCTGATGCGGTCAATTTCTGTAGGATTAAAAGACATGATTCAGTGGAATACAGGTTAGTGTGACCAGATTTGCGCTTGTCAAAACCAGGACACCGTACGGGGGAGGGGGGTGGGGACTCGTCATCGACATTGCGCGACTCTCACCTGGCAAAGCTTTTTCCCACTGGACACCGAAACATATGTTCCTGCTTTATACACTGTGTACATGGCCTCACACTTGTCCCGAACGCAACGGAAAGCGTGGAATTTCTTGTATAAGTCATCGTTAAATACACATTTGTGCTTCGGTACGCTGCAGACTGACCGACTGTTTGTGTTTGCTCGCTCCTTCTGAGTGCAGAGACACATGTACACACCTGTTTGGTCACGCTACGCACAACAACCTACATTCGATTTGTCGATTAAAATTAACGTAATCGATGAAATTCTTAATAATCAATTATCGATTAATCGATTAATCATGCCCATCCCTAAATACAACGTTTTCATTTTGACCTCAAGAGCGGCTTATACAATATATCTGTACTGGCGCAAGACGAAGTGTGCTCAAATATATGGGGGAAAAAAATCCTCTACAGCCACTTTAAATGCTCAGTCCTCCTCACCATGGCAACGTGCATGGAGTGTCTGTCTGCGTCGCTATAAACTGCCACAGAGCGGACGCCCATCTTTTTAGCTGTTCTCATCACACGACACGCGATCTCTCCTCTGTTTGCGATCAGGACCTTCTCTATCCTCGCCACACCTGTAAAACACAAAGAAAAAACACAATGGAAAAGTACATAAAGAGTCAGATGTCATTGTTCTGCCTGAAATGTTCCACAGTATGACATTAAACAGCTCTACCTCACATCTATTAAATTACAAGTGATTTTATAGCTCAAAAATACATATAAAAACAGGCATTCTGACTGTGAGCGGGGTCGCCTTTCGACAGATCTGACATGTAACTTGGTCTGGTTTGGTCTCCATGAAGATAGAAATGTTTAATGCCATACTGTGAAACATTCCAGACAAAGCAATAACACCTCCATGGAGACCAGAGACCAGAAAAGTGACACAATGCACCTTTAAGAACATTTTAACCACAGTGTATTTATTTAGCCTCATTTTAAATAAACTAATTGTTGGGAAATGCCAGTACATGTATTATTATTATGATTTTATTTATTTGTATTATTAAAAATACATTGTGTAACTTTTCTGGTGGAGGGTCCATCAAATGCTTTTCTCCATAACAAATGTAATGTAGAGCTGTTTAATGTCATACTGTGGAACATTCTAAGAGCAATGACATATCCATAGAAACAAGCAGGTTACGCAATGCACCCACTTTCACATAGAGAATTTTGAATTACTTGAACATATTTACCTAAGCATTTTTTGTCTTATTTTAGTAATTATTTCTCAAATTCATTTAATTAAGTATGTGGAACATGACTACATCTACTTAAAAACACATGTAACACTATGTCACTTTTCTAGTGGAGGGTCTGCCACCTGCTTGTCTGCATGAAGATGTTATTGCTGCCTGAAATGTTCCACTTTGCCATGGAAACAAGCAGATGACACCAACAGACCAAGTTACAGGTCAGATCAGTGGAAAGATGAAATAAAATTAAAAACCTGGGATTGAATAAATGGTAGTTTGTAATACTCTACACTGGAACATTAAAGAAAAAGCAATGATTTGTCCATGGTAACCCACCTCCCACCTGAAAAGTAGCATAATCCATATTTGACGGTACACTGTGTAACTTTTCTTGTAACTTGGAATTTTTCACAATATGGCATTAAACCTTTCTATCTTCATGGAGACCAAGCCACAGGTCAGATCTGTGGAGAGGCGACCCCACTCACAGTCAGAATGCCTGTTCTGACAATACCTTAGACTTAGACAAATTTTATTGATCTACAAGGGAAAATATTTGGACACAGTAGCTCACACATCACAATATAATACAATAAAGAGAAAATACATAAGAGGTAATAATAAATTCTAAATAAGTAGCAAAAAGGGTAGCAAGAGACAGGTGTCAAATAAGACATCATTATGTTAATGTAAACGTACAAGTCAAAATAAAATTAAAAACAATTAATAAAATATAAAATCTCAGCTATATACAAGAGGTCATAAGAAAAAAACTGTGTAAAAATTATATGATATAATATGATATGAAATAATCCCCTGTAATTGAATAAATGTAAAGTAGAGCTGTTTAATGTCACACTGTGGAACATTCCAGGCAGAGCAATGACATATCCATAGAAACAAGCAGGTGACAGATCCCAAACTGCAAAGTTACATGCTGCACCTTCATAATTGTGAAAGTTCAAAATAATAATTAATAAATATATATAATAATAATATTATAATAAATATACCATCTTAATCATTTGAATACTACCACTTTCACAGATCAATTTTTGCAGGATAAAAAGGGTGCGTTCTCACTTGGTCCTGGCTTGAAATCATTTTAGTCTTGATGTTACAGTTTTATAGTTTTTTTTAGAGAAAGAAAACTTTTTATGCTACACATTTGACATTTCCACTGTTTTGATGATTAAAATGTTTGTGTTTCATATCAACTTTGCACAAGAAGTATCACATTTAGTATCACAGCCATGCCATTTTTTTATTGAACCGTATTGAATCGATCTGAAATATACTGAATCGAATGGAATCGAAAGCTCACTGTATTGAGATGCGTATCATATCGTGGCCTATGTATCGAGGTAGGTGTTGTCTTGGAAACTTGTTAATGATACCCAACCACAATGTTGACTTGGATTGGTCCTGGTCCAAGATTAGTTTGAGATTTAGTCCCAGTTTAGTCTCAGTTTTCAGGTGGTTGCTGTGCACGTATGAATGTATCCATAGAGCTGTGAGTTTAGGTGAAGAGATCTCACCTGAAGCCAGCCTGACGCCTCTTTTGGTCCATGACAGTTTCCTGAAGAGAGTCACACAGTTTACATGTCAGCCTGCCATGTTTATGAAGGACAGAGGGGCTAAGGCAACAACAACTGCACAAATCTGCTCATTTAGAACGTAAAGTTATCATTATACAGGAAAATTCACTGCAGGATCTGTAGCATTAATGTGTGTGGCAAAATGACTTAAAATGATGCATAGTTAAAGTAGTAAGTAGTTATAATAATAAATAATTAGGGAGATATGCTACCTTTACTTAACCTTGCACAGCTCAAGTCAGTATTAGCTTCTATAATCGTACATTTCAAAGCACTAAATAAACATAAACACATGCACACTTCATATAAACATGTATTTAATGTAACCAAACATTTTATAAAGACCATTCTGAGCTGAAACTGTCATTCACATTGATAGCTTAGCACGGTGCTAACATGCAGGTGTCGTTTAAAAGCGGTCTGCATGACAGAAAAACAGAGTTCTTATTCACAAATTAGAATGCATATGTTAAGGCTTTGATTGCACTCACTGTGTAAATATTCTGAAGCCTTGTAGCGTGGGGAAGCTGAGGATAACAGCTGCCATAGTGAGCAGCTCCGAGCTCTGTGATGCTAAAGGACTAGCTTCAATCCGGGCATTCCGCTAGGGGCGGGGTTTATGGACTACGTCACAGACTTTTTGTAAGAAAAAAAGAAAGAAGGCCAATCTTTTCTTTACATGCTAATAATACAACAATTTATGCATCATAAAATTATACCGTGATGGAAATTTAAGATTATTTATGTTGCTAATAAAATATTTCTGTCGTAAAACCGGTAATTGATTAATGTGGCGTTATTGCCATCTAGTGGTGAGTGTGTGAATGTGCAGCACATTGATAATTCCACATGTGCAACAGAGGACACAGTTAAACCATGTTTACTTTGTAAAAACAAAATAACTCAACAGTGTCTGGATCCACTGATCTGTGTCTCTGGACCCATCCACTGTTTGTCCAGTGAGAGGACTGTCCTTCTGGTGTGAGGAAGAACAAAGGCTCATAATAATATAATAAATCATTTAATCCAGTAAAAATAGCTCCACACAGTGGTGGCATTACATAAGAACCAACTTGATTCTTGCCAGTTAAAGTCACACTATGTAACTTTACTGGTAAAGAGTTCATTACCTGCTCATCTCCATGGAGATGTCGTTGCTTTGCAAAGAAGAACTTCTATCTGTCTCTATGGACCCTGACAGGGCAACTAGGTCAAATTACAAGTCATATCTGAGGAAAGGCGAGCCCATTCAACATTTCAAGTTACAGTGCACCTTTAAAAAGGCAATGAGCCATAAGTTTTAATGTCTCTAATATCTCTAATATATACATCTGAATAATATTAACATTTGTGCATTTGGATATGGTTTTCGAAAATAATAACAGGATTCTTTGAACATGTGTAAAATGACACATTTTTATTCATTTCTGTTCAAGATAATATAAACTTCATACAATGCAAAATTATTCACATTTTATTTGACAAAGATCATGATGTAAACAGTGCGATTTTGACTCTAAGTGTAGTTAATTCAGCATGATTCTATAAAACAATCACAAATCATCCATTTGAAAACAGCTCAACCAGGGCTGCTTTTACAGCGAGCTATTATAAAGAATAATAATAACATACAAACTATGCAAAAATAGCCAATACAAATAGTAACAGTTTAACCTTTAAACAGCCTGCATGTTTGGGGGGTAATTATACCATCCATTCAATAGGGATTCAAAATTAAATGTAGTGTGACCAGATCTTTTAAATAAAGAACTGGGACACACTTCGGATGGTAAAAGTAAAACTCCAGGTATGTTTTTGATAAGGAGACAACATTATATAACAGATCAGAAAACAGCGTAATAGGAGCACTTTAAAATGAATCCCTGTTAGTATAGGAAAGCAGGAGTGGTTGTGATTCTTGTGAGGTCCAGGCTCTCAGCGTGTTGTCCGGAAGTAAACCAAAGACGCCACTAACGCCATGGCTGCGCCGATGGCTACTATACACCAAGGAAATAAGCGCCGTATAACCACCAACTGCAACACACACACAAAAATATGATAATAACAATAATATGATATAAGTTCTAAAGGGCCTATATTGCACTATTTTTGATCTATGTTAGCAACACATTTAAAAGTAAATTAAAATTATTGTATGTTTCCAACCAAAAATGCTCTCACTGAAAATGTATTAATGCTGTATATTTCTTATCTATAACTAAGGTGTCTTGTCTGTTTTTATGCATGTAGTTTATAGTTTTGTCTATGGACAGGTGTTAAAAACCAGCATTTAAGCGAAAACACTCAAAGCAGTGCATCTGGCTCATCTAATGTGAATATGATGTTCTTAATAAACAGAAATAAAATAATAATAATAATAATAATAATAATTTTTGATCCTGAAGAAAATTTAAGTTTTGCTGCAGCAACATTTCCACTGTGCATCTCAGTGTCCTTTGTGTTTCAGTCAAAGGTCTGAGAGCAGTTTAACAGGAGGACTGGTCAGGGAGGGTCAGCAGATCTGTGTCAGGGCAGTTTGAGGAGAGGAAGAGCCAAAAGTGTCTCTCCTCTGAGTCCTGCAGCACCACAGCAGCCTCAGGGGGGCACCAGGTGAACACAACAGGAAAGGCCTCACTCAGATTCCACTCTGTGTTTCTCTAACTTCTTTTTTTTAAAGACAAGTGTATTTACCTTGTTGACATGTTCCCCTCCTTGAACCGTCACCTTATCGTGGTGGAGGGGTTTGAGTGCCCGAATGATCCCGGGAGCTATGTTGTCGGGGGCTTCATGCCCCTGGTAGGGTCACCCAAGGCAAACAGGTCCGGGGGACGGGTCAGACGAAGAACGGTTCAGAAGCCCCTATGATGAGTGTACGAGCAAGGCCAGTTACGTCGCCCGGATTGGCGTCACCGGGCCTCACCCTGGAGCCAGGCCTGGGGTGGGTGCTCGCCAGCGAGCGCCTGGTGGCCGAGCCTCCCCCCACGGGGCTCGGCCGGGCTCAGCCCGAAGGAGCGACGTGGGGCCGTCCTCACGTGGGCCCACCACCCGCAGGAGGATCCATATGGGGCCGGTGCAGAGAGATCTGGGCAGCAGTCGACGGCGGGGGCCTCGGCGACCGGATCTCCGGACATGGAGACTAGCTCTGGGGACATGGAATGTCACCTCGCTGGGGGGTAAGGAGCCTGAGCTTGTGCGGGAGGTTGAGCGTTACCGACTAGATATAGTCGGCCTCACCTCCACGCACAGTTTGGGCTCTGGAACCCAACTCCTTGAGAGGGGCTGGACTCTCCATTTCTCTGGCGTTGGCCGCGGGGAGCGGCGGCGGGCTAGTGTGGGCCTGCTCATTGCCCCACAGCTCAGTCGCTGTGTGTTGGAGTTCACCCCGGTGAACGAGAGGGTCGCGTCCCTGCGCCTTCGGGTCGGGGACAGGTCTCTCACTGTGGTGTCGGCCTACGGGCCGAACAGCAGTGCAGAGTACCCGGCCTTCTTGGAGTCCTTGGGAGGGGTACTAGACAGTGCACCGACCGGGGACTCCGTTGTTCTCCTGGGGACTTCAACGCCCACGTGGGCAACGACAGTGACACTTGGAGAGGGGTGATTGGGAGGAACGGCCTCCCCGATCTGAACCCGAGTGGTGTTTTGTTATTGGACTTCTGTGCTAGTCACAGTTTGTCCATAACAAACACCATGTTCGAGCACAAGGGTGTCCATAAGTGCACGTGGCACCAGGACACCCTAGGCCGGAGGTCGATGATCGACTTTGTCGTCGTGTCATCTGATCTCCGGCCGCGTGTCTTGGACACTCGGGTGAAGAGAGGGGCTGAGCTGTCAACTGATCACCACCTGGTCGTGAGTTGGGTTCGCTGGCGGAGGAGGAAGCCGGAAAGACCTGGCAGGCCCAAGCGTGTAGTGAGGGTCTGTTGGGAACGTCTGGCGGAGCCCTCTGTCAGGGGGACCTTCAACTCGCACCTCCGGGAGGACTTCTCCCGGATTCCGGGGGAGGCTGGAGATATGGAGTCCGAGTGGGCTTCATTCTCGGCCTCTATTGTCAATGCAGCTGCTCGGAGCTGTGGGCGTAAGGTCTGTGGTGCCTGTCGCGGCGGCAACCCCAGAACCCGGTGGTGGACACCGGAAGTAAGGGATGCTGTCAAGCTGAAGAAGGAGTCCTATCGGGCCTTGCTGGCTCGGGGGACTCCTGAGGCAGCTGACAGGTACCGGCGGGCCAAGCGTGCTGCAGCCCGTGTGGTCGCGGAGGCAAAAAACTCGGAGCTGGGAGGAGTTCGGGGAGGCCATGGAGAAGGACTATCGGACGGCCTCAAAGAGATTCTGGCAAACCGTCCGGCGCCTCAGGAGGGGGAAGCAGTTCTTCACCAACACTGTTTACAGTGCGGGGGGAGAGCTGTTGACCTCGACTGGGGACGTTGTCCGGCGGTGGAAGGAATACTTTGAGGATCTCCTCAATCCCACCGTCACGTCTTCCGAGGAGGAGGCCGAGGCTGGGGACTCGGAGGCGGACTCATCCATCACCCTGGCCGAAGTCACTGAGGTGGTTGGCAAGCTCCTTGGTGGCAAGGCTCCGGGGGTGGACGAGATCCGTCCTGAGTACCTTAAGTCTCTGGATGTTGTGGGGCTGTCTTGGCTGACACGCCTCTTCAACATCGCGTGGCAGTCGGGGACAGTACCTCTGGACTGGCAAACCGGGGTGTTGGTCCCTCTGTATAAGAAGGGGGACCGGAGGGTGTGTTCCAACTATAGGGGGATCACACTTCTCAGCCTTCCCGGTAAGGTCTATGCCAGGGTACTGGAGAGGAGAATCCGGCCGATAGTCGAACCTCGGATTCAGGAGGAGCAGTGTGGTTTTCGTCCTGGCCGTGGAACACTGGACCAGCTCTACACTCTCCATAGGGTGCTCGAGGGTTCATGGGAGTTTGCCCAACCAGTCCACATGTGTTTTGTGGATCTGGAGAAGGCATTCGACCGTGTCCCTCGTGGTGCCCTGTGGGGGGTGCTCTGGGAGTATGGGGTCCGGGGCCCTTTGCTAAGGGCTGTCCGGTCCCTGTATGACCGGAGCAGGAGCTGTGTTCGCATTGCCGGCAGTAAGTCAGACCTGTTCCCGGTGCATGTTGGACTCCGCCAGGGCTGCCCTTTGTCACCGGTTCTGTTCATTGTATTTATGGACAGAATTTCTAGGCGCAGTCAGGGGCCGGAGGGGGTCCGGTTTGGGGACCACAGGATTTCATCTCTGCTGTTTGCGGACGATGTTGTCCTGTTGGCTTCATCGAACCAGGACCTGCAATGTGCACTGGGGCGGTTTGCAGCCGAGTGTGAAGCGGCTGGGATGAGGATCAGCTCTTCCAAGTCCGAGGCCATGGTTCTCGACCGGAAAAAGGTGGCTTGCCCTCTCCGGGTGGGTGGGGAGTCTTTGCCTCAAGTGGAGGAGTTCAAGTATCTCGGGGTCTTGTTCACGAGTGAGGGAAGGACGGAACGTGAGATTGACAGGCGGATCGGTGCAGCTTCGGCAGTGATGCGGTCGCTGTATCGGACCGTTGTGGTGAAGAGGGAGCTCTGGGTAGTGACCGAAAGGACGAGATCGCGGATA